CCAGTCGTTACTAGGCCGGTTGTCCTAGCGTCGCCAGTCTCCGTTGAGATATCCCCGTAGATCGAAACGAAGAAACAGTATACGTAGTACACGGTTTCGGAGGAGCGAAGCGAAGGGAAGCATAGGCATTCGGCGTAACGCTCCAGGGAACGCGAATATCCGTGCTTGTCCTGCCCATAGTCCCACGGGTCGTTCTATGTTCAAGATCATTCGCTTCAGCGCATCTCGTCGCTATAGCACGTCGCTACTACAGGAAACAATTAGGTTAACGAGCGAAGTGGTAAAGAGAGACAAGAAAGGAAAAAATGATCACAACGGACGAGCTCCCCAAAATGTTCAAGAACCCACGGACCATCCAGAGACGCCACAAACTAGCGCTCAATCGGCTGAGCCTGTCTCTCAACTCGCAACAACCTGAGCGGGCCTGCGGTACCCCCCCGCTGAACCCCAGGAAGTACAACTGCGTTAAACCGTTCCCAGACAAGGGGGTTTCAGCTTCCTCAAAGCTGGAAAAGGGCGGAGCCCCTCCTCTTTAGTACAGGAACGTATTATTACCACTGGAATGATTGCGATTATTACAGGGGAGTGGAACGACTCAAGTGCGACGCACAACCCTATGGGCCTTATAGACCTGGAATGCGCTCCTGTGACTCCACGGCACCAGTTGACCCAACACACCTCGTTATACGGACGCTGAACCCCCTTGTTTACTGTAGTTTTAGTGCTCGTTGCATGGCTAGACGGGCTCAGAGCCCCTTGTCCAGCCGAGGCCGGCCGCCTTGTTCACCCATGGCGTACATAGTGTCCTCACTCATTGCACACATTGTTAGGTTACGCCTGTTCAATCGAGTACTTAGTAACGTCTTATCATGCTTGATAACACCCACGCCTTAGGCTACAGAACCCAAATCGACGGCGTAACTGCCACATGGAAGTGCTTTCAGGGTCCCGCAGAGTTTCACCTACATTACTAACATGATGAGGAGGTCAGGCTCCTCAATCTCGGCATCGTGCTCAGAAGGACTTCAGCCATTGCGCCGTCACATGACATGTTAGCTTATAAGCGAGGTATCCCGTACCCGTTTGCGTTACAGTTCATACGCATAAACCCATAGCAAAGGCTTGCAACATCGTCCCAAAGGATTGTGTGGGCTCTGAGTAGCACAGTAGATGCGAGCATGCTCCCGCCGACTTTCACAGGTAGCCCTTTGGCGACACGCCGCTGTTACCAATTCACTAAATACTGTTTACGGTACCAGGACAAACCATAGAGGAGCGCTAATCGCTGTTGCCGAGGTGGTCCTTGTTCAATGGCTGGTCAATAAATCGTTTGTTGCGAAATTAAGTTTGTTTGGCTTCCAGTTATTTTTACTGAATACAGATAACAAATATCTATTAGGTGCAATAAATAGTTTTGTCTAGTTTGTATGTTTTGACGTTACGGACGGACACACGGACACACGGACACACGGACAGGGGCAATCCTGGGGGGCGAAGCCCCCCCGAAGCCGCTTCGCGGCGGGGGCTCCGCCCAAAAACCTCCGGCGGCTACCGGACTACCCGATCTCCAGCGGACTGTCCCACCGCTCCCAGGTGCCGGGACCAAGACCCTCCCTCGCGCCCGTTCTCACGCCATTCCTATCCGAGATGCCCCCGCCCCACCCCCGGACTGCCACCCCCGGCGGGGCCCCGCTCCAGGAGGCCCCGGACACCAGCTCGACCGCCCTGACTGCAATAACCACACCGCCCAACTTAGCTCCCCCACATGGCCGCTGAACCCGGCTCGGGCCGCAAAGGCGGCAGCAGGCCTACATAGATGCAACCACACGGGTCGACAACCGCAAAGTACGAGCAAGTAACGCGCTAGTCCACGAAGCGGGCCTGGACGCGACACGAGCAGGCAGCCCACGCACGGCGGTGTGCTTCGCACGCCACTTCACCAGAGCCATGTACGTGGACATCACTAAAGCCTGTCCCCGCTTTGGCAAAGTATTGAGGGAGGAAACCGCGACCCGCGGGCCCTCCTCCCAGCCTGCTGGGCGCCGGGCGACAGGCCAACGCCAATTTCCCCCATCCCTCCTTACAATTATGGCCGACAACGGACGGCTACCCAGCGCCAATAACCCAGTATTAACCTACATTGCGGAGAAGGCTCCTCAGGCGGAGGCAACCAACAACCCGCTGCACGATGTCTCGCCCGGCTTCGGCACCAACCTCGCCCCGCCACCTGCGGGAACAGAAGCCAACCCATTAGCGCAACCGCCGCTGCAGGGCGCGGCACACTATGCGCGCATGCGCAGAGACTGGCTGAGGAACGACACGGGCCCCCTCGCCGAGCATATACGAGCCAACCCCAAGGACACCACAGTTGCCAACCAACAGTCCACAGCGCATACCACGGCATTGAACGGGTGCGCTGCATAGTCAGTGGCCCTTTCACCACACGGGAAGTAACAAATAGGGACGCACAAAAGGCGCAGAAAGGTAAACGGCCTGCAGGAGATGGCACCGAGGGCCCGACACGCTCGAGTCTTAACAGAAATACCCATGGACAGTACTACGTGGTGGAATGGTACCCTACCTTGGTCACCCCCCTGGCGCTCCTTGCATACCAGGCCATGGGGTACGGCTCCACCTCGGTCAGACCTGCGAGCCGGGAATATGGTAGAGGCGGCGGACAGCTCCTCAACTACGTCGAATGGGAACACAGCAGAATGCCCGTGAGGGACGTGGAAATGCAGGACAACTGGCAAGACCTTCTCAAAGAACACAGGGCTAAGAAGGCAAGACCCGACCCACCGGCTGGGTCTCCCCCCACCCGGGACGGTGACCTCACCAACAACCAACGGCAAGGCCGATGGGCACCCACACCCCTCAGCAAGGCCGGTGCCGAACGACGGACACGCGCGCACACTGCTCTCGCCAGCGCGCCATGCAACCCGGATCAGGATATCCACCCCACAGGACGATATCACATTCAAATAGGGATTACTGATACAACGCAGCAGGCAACCTCGCAAGAGGACACTGCGTTTGTGTACGACCCCCAGGGGACATGTGTGGGCTCCGTCCCCACCACCCGTCTCAACCTACTATGGCAGCGCTACCACCATATGCAAGCCAATCATTACGAAGCGCACCGCTCACTGGCCGGTGACCGCAGCTTCGAAGAAAACACAGCCCGCCTCCTCCTGCGGAACCAGGACAGCAAGAAACACCAGCCGCAACCGAGGCCACTGGGGACCCTGCGGGAACTGATGCAGGCTCTCTGCAACGCACTGCAGATGGCTACCCCCAGCGGGGAAGTCTCCGAGCGCTTTGCGACCCCACTAACATGCAATGAGGGACCATCTCTCTACTTCAGTGATTCAGAGGAGGACCAGCTGTTTGGAGCCAACGCGGGATGCTACTCCCAACCCTTTGGAGGCGCGTCAATCGCCCAGCCTGCCCCAGACCCAACCTCTGCTCTGCGTGCCGCCACATGGGCCGTGGCCAGTATTGAGGACCAGAAACCAAGCGCCGAACACAACCCCAACCCCACCTCCGCCCCGCACATCATCATCCTGCTTCTACCCTACCAACGCTCCGGAGCGTACACGCGAATACTCTCCAGCCCCCACGCGCAGCGACTTGCAGTCATCCCAACTGTGACTACGGAGGGACCGGAAAGAGCTCCCGATAACCCAAATACGTGCCCCGGCAACCCCACGTCTAGGCGCCGCGCGCAGGAGCTCGACGTGCTTCTCGTGGCAAACGAACCAGGTCTCACCCTTATGAAGCGAGAGGTATGGACGCGCCTCCGAGAGCGACTCCGGCGCCTAGGCGGAAGCCATGTCGCCTTGCAGCTGAAGGAGGTCCCAGCTAGCAACCAACCCAGTCAGCTGCGGCTCTATAGCCAACGAGTTTCTAAGAGAATGCGAGCCTTCAATGCCAACCCGCCCTCCCGAACGCGCTCCACCCTATCTGTTAGCATGGAGCTGGGGCTAGGTCCCCTAAGAGCCAAGTTCCCCGCCGCAATCACTCGAAGGTATGACCCAAATAATATTATCTACACAGACGGTAGCCGAATCAATTGCGAGCTAACCGACGGAACACCAGTCGTACGGATGGGAGCGTCGGTCCATGATCCGAAAGGAACTACACTACATATTGATCCCAATGGCCACGGTGTGACAAATACAATCCAGCGTGCAGAGCTAGCGGCCATCCGTGCCGCCCTCGAGGCCCACAAAGACCGCGACCAACTGCACATCGCAACTGACTCTCAAGTGTCAATCTATTTGATCAGAAGAGCAACTACTGATCCAGGAAAACTCCACGTCTCTAAACATATAGCGCTCCTTGTCAGTATCGCGAATCTCCTAGCCGACAGGGCCCGAAGGGGTAAACGAACACATATCCTCAAGGTGAAATCGCACATAGGTATCCAGGGTAATGAGGCGGCGGACCGCGCCGCAACGGCGGTGGCACGGGGGAAAACACCAGCGGACGCGAACGAAACATCGGACAACAACCCATACAATAAAATTTGGTGGCTACAGGATAGAGCGCGTAGCCACCACATCTCTGACCTAAACAGGGGGATTATGAAAGCACTGCCGGCCACATCTCACAACGGATACACTAACGATACACTCTATACCCAGCTTTGGGAGGAAAAGGGAAAGGACCTCTGCCCAAAGGCAAGCAATGCAAGCTTCCATCAGGGCAATGCCCACAAGCATATGAAACGGGCACTGGATGCCCGCTGGGGGCAGCTGTTCCACGAAGGCCTGCGCCGCCTGTATAAACTCCCACCGAGGAAACCCGCCACTTGGCACCCAGACCTGCCGCCTGAGGCCCGCGTTGGCTGCGCTCCATGCCCAATCTGCTGCAAAGCCTGTGACTCGGGCGGGCACATCCTGGGAGGCTGCACAGACCAACGCATGCACGGCATGTACTGTGAGCGACACGATGGTGCTGTTCGCATAATCGGGGACACGCTATCGGGAGGGAAACATGGGGGGGACTACATGGTTATGGCTGCCGGAAAGGAGGCTGACCTCCCGGCCTACGCAGATGGAAAACGCCTACCTGACTGGCTGCGGCCCCCGTCAACTAGTGCCGAAGAATGGAAGAAATTGCGGCCAGATATCCTCCTAGTGAAGGGCCTGCAAGCCCATAAAGCGCACACTGCTGGCCAAAAACGCCCCCAAGATCGAAATGGCTACACTATACATATCCTTGAGATAGGCTACACTGGCGACCTCCGGCACGCGGAGAAACAACACCAAAAGGCAGCGCAGCACCACAGGCTTGCGACCCTCCTCCGCCAGGACGGATGGCTTGTACAGTACTCACCACAGGAGGCTATCAGCCTGGGCTTCGCCGGCACCATCCGCTCCGACCTTAAGAAATCCCTAATGGCCATGGGGGTGGCCCCCAGACACGCCTCCTCATGCTGCGATAACCTACACCGCCATGCCATCCACCACCTTATCAGGATTGTCTTATGCCGTCGTGTCCTGGAACGGGGCACAACCCCCCCTGCTATAGGGGACGGGTAATCTCTACCTACACCAACTAACCCCGACGGTGGTGCTGGCATACAAGGGATAACACCCTTCAGTGCGTGCCTCGCCCCCATAACACACGCCAGGGCTACGCCCGGCGTAACCATTAATATTATTATTATTATTTCCTGTCAAGTGCCAATAGTGTCATACACGTCGTAATGTTCACTTAATTGCGCCCCTGGGGTATCAGCAGCGAAGCACCGCTCGAGGTAAGCAACCTCCCCATGTAACTGGATAGCCTGCAACTGCTGCTGTGCAACAAGCTCCATCATGGACATCAGCGTGGGGTGTAGAGCGGTCTCTACAATACGGGACAGGTGTGCCTGCACGCAGGAATGATACCCGAGGGACACGTTATTACTTCCTCATGCATGACTGGTCAACATGGATATAGGAAGGAAGCAATAATAGTTTGTTGCATGTTACGAATCGTCACTAGTTAGGGCATTCTAGTCATGTAATACCAATAGTGGCATTAACTGCAAGTTGACCAGCAGCCCTTCAGGTCGGTCACACTACTTCGCATTACTACAGGTCGGTCACTACGTTCTACATTACATTCGCGAAAAGAATAACATGAACGTAAACGTAGACCGGTCGCATGACAAGCGTAGGGTTACGTTTGGGTGCTGCGTTAACGTAGCCCATTCATGAACGTGTATGTAGGGAGTAGGTGGGGTTACATTTACATTGGTCCACGTTCTGCCAGGGACCATGCATGCATGAGAATGACGACCTTCATGTACGGCAGACTGCAACGGATATATGGACGTTATGCACAGAAAGTATGAATAGTACGGCGGGCCCCAAAACGTTTCAATGAGCAGCAGCAGGTATGCCGTGGAACGTAGCCCCAAAAACGTGGTCACTGTGACCGCTACCCCACATTTACGTTATGCGTTTAGTGCAAGCAACATCAAAACGGAACGTAGAATGTAACGTCGTGTGACCAAGCTGCACCAGGTCTCACCTGATACACGGCAGCATGGTGAACTCCTGCCAATTCATAACAAGGCCGCATGAGAGAAGCACTACTGCTGCCGCCTGCTGCAAACCTGTGATGTGCAATTGCGTTGCGATGTATGTTATTCATCTAGTACAAGCCAAGTACGAAAGACCCGTCGTACAAACTTCAACTTACCCGTCTGCTGTGGACGCTTCCTCGCAGGCCTGGTAACAGAAATGATGAGTCATTGTTTTGCAGTGAGGGTTTCATTATTAACATTTGCATGGTAGGTTCACGCGCAAAGTGCTAAGACCTTGCATGCATGTATATATGTACCCTGACCCAACCTACCCCTGCCTCCTCCAGAAGCAACATCTGCACTACCGCCTTTGAGTCTGAAAAGGAATGCCGCTTCAACAGGGATGCTTGTGATGATGGGACAACCACCACGTCGACCTCTTTCTTAATTGAGAACTCGACCGGTGTAACCAGCGGGCCGCGGCCTGCCACAATAATATATTTATTCGAGACAGCAAGGTGAATAAGCAGCAGGCACATGCAGTTTGTCACATGTACATAATCTATTCCGGATGTACTGAGGAAGGGGGTAATGTTCACTGGTAATGTGCACTGGAAAGCACAAGACAACCCTAATATAGTGTAGATGTCCCTTGCACTACTGCATGCAATTGCTTGGTGTTATGCTTACCGGATACGAGGTCATGGTGACCTCCAGCAGGGAGAGACTGGAAAGCAGTTAGCTACAAGGGCAGTGAATGGACGCGTACTCAAGTTCAAGAAAGGGCAGCAAAATAGCTCGGGCGACATGGCTTTTTACTTTCTGCAAAAACATTTGCAATCCATGCAGCAGGCTTGGGGATGAGCGACCTGGAACTACATCCCGTGTGAAGAGGTGGCTTTTAATATGGCGCCGTACAATGGCACGCGTGCCCAGAAATACACCCATACGGCCCTAGACTCGTACAGTACCATACATATATACCTGCACAGCCCCAAATTGAGATGCTGCGTCTCGGTTAAACGTAGACACGATAAGGCCGACAAAGCCTGGATCCAGCAGCTGGTACATCGCCTGACGTAAGCGTGGGAGGAAACGAAGCTTGCCTTGGACGACAGCAAAGAGAACAGGAAGCAGGCCGCATTCATCAATGACTGACAGACTGCTGAGCTCACCCACGTGCTAAAAAGGATAGACACAAAGGGGGGTATGTGGCCTTGCTTGAGTGTACATGGAGGTTGAGAAACCTCATTGCTAATCAATGGTAGTGTCAGGACCGCTGTAAGTAGGGAATGGTAGACCGTGTGCTGAAACCTAGCATGCGTTAACCCACCTGCGTGCGGATGTCCACATGGGAGGGTAGCACCGTAATGTGCGGGTGGCTGTGGTACCAGCCCACAATCCTGATACGAATTCCTGTCTCAATGCTCAGGTGTTCCGCGCGGGTGGAGCACTGAGCCATCTGCTCAGGGCTACACTCAACACGATCCTGCAGTCCCGAGAAATGAAGGACGGAAAACCGTGCGCAAAGACAGCGTTACATGTACACTACACGCCCTCCCCGAGCGAACAAGGAGATAACTGTAATGTCGAAGCAACATTGGACAAGGGCATAATCAGGAGGATGAACGAGAGCGCGTGTGTGGCAGGGTGGGGCTCGCGTAGTGTGAGGTGGATGCACATAGAAGTAAGTCTTTAGACATAGAAGTCTATACCTTCGCATAGATATAAACAGGCGGCCTTCACCACTGCCAGCCCCGTTAAATCCCGCTAAGGGGTAGCCGATCCTGCGAGCGATATATGCACCACTACCATTGCCAAGCAACCCCATCCGCCTCGTACCCTGCGCCTGTCCGTCCTGATGTGGGGGATGGCCAGCGAAACCCGACACACAGCACCCGACGCGCCATCCTCCTATAGGGCAACAAGGAAAGCCCGTGCTTTAGTAAGCACCAAAATCAGCAAGCCAAATATTCATATGTTTGGAGCCCATTTTATTTTTCCGGGACTTGCAAGCGGTATATTTTGCCCCCATTTGACACCTTGCCAGCGAATTTCCAGCCCAATTTGACATGGCAAAAAACAATTTTGCCCCATTTGACAAAACTCAAAACATTTCATTTTTGTCAATTAAATTTTGGGCAATACGATAGTGCGTTCAATTTTTGTGGGCACATACCAAAATGTCGCCCATCAGGAGCCCCATGACTTCCTCAGCCTCCGTGGAATGCGCATGACTCAGCATTGCCAGGAGCACCTCTGAAGGGATAGAGGGTATGTAGTGAGTCAGTGAAGGGGCGCGAGCGGCACTGTGGTTGGGCTATAATTCAAGGGCACCACAAGGTTTAGCCTCCCATTGTGTTTGAAGCATGAAGGAGCTTCGCTAATAAACAGAAACACCAATGCTGGCAAATCTGCTAGCACTGAAGAGCGCATGCACATTATCCCATAAGCCACAACCAGTCAACCTTTCTTCTGTCTGCCCTTCCTCCCGGCGCGACCAAGCTTTAACTACCCACCCTGCGTGACCTCCACCCGTGCCAAGCTCATTTTACTGAGCCGCTGCAAAATGCCTCCAAAAGAGCAGGCAGATGGCCTCGATGGGACCCTGCTAGCTGGTATTTAAACGGCGTGCCCGCTCACTGCAATGCCGTATGTGTACGGTGCACGCTCTTGCTAGATAGGGCTGTCAGTAACGTCAAGATGTGCTACGTCTGTCAGCCTGTCCGTTCCTCTGCAGTAGGGCCCTGTAGCGATACAGTTCTGGCGCCTGCTGCCTGCTAGGCCCGGACCCACACTGTTGGCCGCGCTTCTGTATATGCAAGTAAAACGCTTTAGCTGCTGCGTGTAGACAACCTGTTGTTCACGTTGTTCCCCAGTACACCCTTACGCCGCTCTCCTACACGTTGAGCACCAGTGCCGTCCTGTTCAGCCAGAGGTGGAGCCGCCCCAGGCTGCTGTCTGCTCCTTCAACTCCCGCCCTGCTGCTGCGGCGGCCCACACCCCGAAACCCACTGTTGTCGACGCTGTCCCCGTTGCCGTCGTCCTCCCACTCGGCCGCTTGGATGTTTAGCCACTTAGCCAGGGGCAGCCGCAACGATGCCTCACAATAGGCCTGGACACACATAGATTGCATTCGTAAAGTCAGCGTCCAAGGGAACAAACCCCATCGTGAGAATTGGCTGTGCGGTCAGGTAAGGTGATGATGAAAACGTGGTAGCTCTGGGACCGTGTGTAGGAAGAAAGGAAGCATGCACTGTAGCTCCCAGAACGGTGAAATGGATGCAACGGAAGAGTGTCCAATAAAGGAGACAGAGCCATGCGGCTATCAAAGGCGTTGAAATATCAAGGGGTAACACTTACTATCAAGGGGTTACACAAACGCAGAACAGAGATGCAGAGGACAACCGTGCTTGTTCACGCAAGCCATTGCAAGAAGGTGACCGCCAACCGTCATCAACTTGCCGCCGTTCAGCTTATCGTGAGACGACATGATAAATCGAAGGTGAAATGATGTGCCCCACCTTTGCCCTCAAGCCTGGAAGCAGCGGCAAGCTGGTCTTGAAGGAGTACGACAGAGGCTGCCGCAACAGCTGCAAGGGTAGAACTGTGAAAAGCCTGCCCTCCCCCAGGGACAGCCCGAAGCCCACACGGGGGCGCAGTAACCAGCTATTGTCGTGCAAACCAGCGCCGGAAGTCAGATTCGCTACGTCGGGAAGGTCCCAGCGGCACCAAGCACGAGTGCTGAAGCCCAAAATGCTCAGGCGGTTCCTGGTGTAGGGTCGGGTGGGTTTGGGGCGGGAAAGGGTGCACGGGATCTGAAGGGGAACGAGGGACCGGACGGACAATTAATAGTTGGTCAGCAAGCCGCTTACGGACCCACGCCCCACAAGCCGCTTACCGATACTCGACTGCGTGCTCCAAAGGGAGGTAGCAGATGCTGCCGTTGAGCAGGGGCTCCTGTGCAAGCAGTACATGGAAGGGCCAACAACCCTCAGACCTATACGGTTTGCAGGATTACCATTAAACGTAATTATCGTGCCTTGATGGATGCCTTGGCACGAAGCGCCCTTCTATTGATGTCGAGAGTCGCTGCAAGGCGTGGCCGCCAAGGGTAAAACTCGAAGACTTTCTGTACAGTTAGGGCCGGAGGCAGATAACTTGCGGAGAGACCGAGTTCAAGCCAGTCACAAAGTTGGAAGCGTTGCAGCGTGGAGGTCGACATGCGCACCTCGCAAGTTCTACACTACTAAGCTCTGATTATGTTTTTAACTTGTCAATCAGTTGGTGGTTTACACCGATCTGGGTTAAGCGTGCTCATCGACTTGTCCGGTCTGCCGTAAACAATGCGATGCGCGAGTCCCATGCCAATTTGAGCGCCCGACCCGCCGAATGATATACCGTAACGGCCTAACGGGTTTCCCATTCTGTTTCTTTCTTTTCTTTCTTTCTGATGAGACATTAAACGGACCAAGAAAGCGTAGGTAGGTGGGTAGGAGCAAGGGCGCGAAGGCAGACGCAAAGGAACACAATGTTGTATCACGAAAAGCAAGTCGCAGCACTCTGTGGAGTACATTGCCTAAATACACTTTTGCAAGGACCATACTTCAGCGAAATAGACCTGGCGCAAATTGCGCAAGGTCTAGACGAGTTAGAGCGCGCTTTGGTTGGCGAGGGTGCGCTGGAAGAGGCTTCTGGTAACGTAGCAATGGATGGTATGTTTTCCATCCAGGTGCGCTGGTGTGGTGCTGGATATTAGGTCGTGGCGGTTGGCATCACGTTGTATGCGTCGCGGTCTGCTTCCCTTGCAAGGTTGGACTGCCGGCATGGAATATTTTTTATTGATGCATGCCCAGTTATCTCATATGACCTTACGGCTATCCCACCGTGCCGTACTTTAGACACTCACACGTCCCCTCATACCGACGCCTTGCCAGGTCTTGAGCCGGGCACTGGAGACCTGGAGCCTGCAGGTTGGCGCACTCCTCTGGTGGTTAGTGCCTTTGGTTGCATTCTGACCATTTTGGCAATCGTTTGGTGGTCTGAGACCATCACCAGCAGCACATGCCCACCCCACCGCACCCAAGCTCAACCTCGCCAGCCCCCACACCACCATTCCCCTTGTGCCGCCCTCTCGTCTAGGTCATCTCCCTGGAGTCGGAGGAGGCTCGAGCCTTCAAGGCTGCCCCTACAACTGCTGAAGCCTTCATTTGCAACCTTCAGGCGAGTTCTTGGGAAGTATGTAAGGGAATCGGTTAGCACTGAGAAACAGGGGCACTGCGATCACTTGGGGGTCGAGATTACCAGCGGCCATGAGTATGTTAAGCCGTCGGCGGGCATGGGCGTCTCACACACGGGACGATGATGTGCGGTGGCGTTCCCCATTTGCATCGGCAACAGCAGTAGCAGCAACCAGTAGAGACAGGAGCAGCAGACGCGGCGGTAAGGGTGTGAGCTGGGTCCCTCGCCGCCTTAGCCTGCCTCCTACCCTTCCACCAAAAGCTGCTTACTTCTTTCCTGTCCCCTATACTCCTCACTCCTCCGTCCTCTTGATGCCCATTGCCTTTTACCCGTAGGAGCACTGGTTCACGCTGCGTCGAGTGGCGGGGGGCGATTGGTGGAACTTCAACTCGCTGTGAGTTGATGCCAGCGGCGGGTCTGACCGGAGGGGTGACCCTCTGTCGACTGGGTCGCGAGCCTCCTTGCGACTGGAAGCCAACAGCGTTTGAGGCTTTCCCATGCGCGTGTCTTCTGTTCCCCATTTGTTTTGGTGGTCATCTACTTCAGCCCTATATGTAGGATCCCTCCTCCTGCCCCTATTCCTCGCGTTCTCCTTCCTGCTGCCCCTATTCCTCGCGTTCTCCTTCCTGCTGCCCCCATTCCTTTCTTGCCCGTCGTGCACCTCCTCTTCCCCCTCTACTCCCACTAGGTTCCCTGCGCCCCAGCCCTTGTCAACATTTTACCTGCAAGCCTTCTTGGACTCTCTGACGGGCGAGGGCTGGACCATATTTGTGGTGGGTTAAGGGACGAAGGCGCAGTGGAAGGGGGGGGGGAGTAAGGGGAAAAGTGGAGAGGAGGCAGGGTACCGTGAGGGGGCGGGGGGAGAACCGGGTATGGAACAACAGTACGTGGCACCGTTCAATGATCCTGAGAATGATCAGGGCCTTGTGAAGCGTGATCCGGACGTCTTGTGCTACAGCGTCGCGCGCGTCTCCCAGCCCCTCCCTGCCTGCCACAGGTGGCCGGCAAGCTCCCTGCCGCACTGCCTGGGTCGCTGGATGCACCGCCCAGCGCCGGAGGCCGCTGGTGGAGCCCGGAGGAGGTGGGACAGGGTTGTGCCTTGATGGGCCGAGGCGAACTACCGTATTAAGGATGCGAACTGGAGGAAAAGCGAAGCATGTGCTAGTTATGCTACATAACCATCCCGGCCATCCCCATGTCGGGGATTGGGCGGAAGACAGGAAAACTACGGGCGCTGGCCTCCGCCCCGCCGCCGTACCCTACATCCTGCACCGCTCGCCGCACCCTGCAGGCTCGTGCCGCTACGGATGAGGCGGAGCGGGCTCGCAAGCGGGGGCGAGTGGCTCACGCGCTGGAGGGGGCGCTGGCGCGAGCAGAGCAGCAGGGCGGCAGGATGACGCTGAGGTCCCGTGGGGAGCCAGCCGGCGGCGGCGGAGGGGCGGCAGCGGGGACGTCGCATGGTGTGTGGGGCGGGGGGTGGGTTGGAAGGGGGCTGTGTTGCGGCGTAGGCATGGCAGGAGAGGCCGGGTATTGCACTTCGGTGGTAATGTGCTGGATACTTGAGTTGGCATGCCGCGTTGCCTGGCGGAGCCACAGGTGCTAGCCTCGCAAGCCCAACTGCCCCCTACATGCTCCCTACTGCTTACTCCCTCCGTCCCTTCCCTCGCCCCTCCGCCCCACCTCCCCTGCTGCCTGCAGACCGCCGCCCCATCGGCCTAGCGGGCTCTGACAGCGAGGGTGACGGTGACGATGATGATGCTGACCTTGCAGCAGCCATTGCCGCCAGCCTGCAGCACCACCAACACCACAAGCAGCAGGATGCGGCGCAGGCGCCTAACGACTCCGTGGTCTCGCAGCAGCAAGTATCGCAGCAGCAGCCGCAGGGGGCCTGGCAGCAGCTTCCCGGGGGGATGGAGTATGAGGAGGGGGGTTTTGAGGATGATCCCGAGCTGGCTGCCGCAATCGCAGCTAGCCTGGCGGATGCAGCTGGAGGGCCGGCGGCGGCGCAGGTCGGGAGTGGCAGCGGAGGTGAAGGCGCAGGCCGTGAGAAGCAGCAGGTGCGTGGAGGGGGGGCGCGGTGGTGCAAGAGGCATGGGAGCTGCCGCCTAGGAGAGAGCTACGTCTGGACGCTGTGCCGTTGTTGGGGAGTAGGGTGTGTGATTTGATACTGGGTAAGCGTGTATGAGTGAGCACAGTTGCCAGTATAGCAAAAATATGTTGCAATTGGGATGTCATGGAAGAGTGTTACCACGTCTTACGAGTGTTCGGGCATTTTGCACGCTATCTCTCATGTTGCTCCATCTTCTTCCCCCGCGACCGGCCACCCTTCGTGACGCCCCATGCTTCCTCGCCTCTTCGTTTGTTTATGAGGTGCAAAGTGGTACGGCTTGTGGTACCATACATACATACGACACAAACCCATGCCATTGCCATGGCCAACAGGAAGGCAACCCGGCGGCGGCTGGAGGGGTTTCGGAGCCAACTGCTGTGCAGCTAGACCCGGAGCCCGAGGAGGGGGAGGGCGTCATTGAGGTCGCTTTCAGGTAGGCAACAGCGCGCCGGTCGCTTCGCTCCGGAACCGTACTAACTTACGTTTCCTGGGAGCGAGCTACGGGGATGCGTACCGGTGGCGACTAAATGTTTGCAGTTTGTTGTTGGATATCGGTGCTACGAGTTGGGCAGGGGGCCGTTATTGTGTGGAGCGAGGGCTTGAGTCTGAGGATGCGGTGTGTCTTGTCCGTTCAGTGGTGGTTCGCTGCCCTATCAACCACCGCCAACCACCAGCATCCAACAGCGGCGTTCCATACCACTGTTTCCCGCAAGCTGCTCTCCCCCTATGCACATCATGCAGTTAAACTTATCCCTTAACACGCGTTTCATCCCCACCTGTCCTCCTAGCCGCCAACGCCTCAGCTGTTTTGCCATCGCGTCTCAAGCACAAGCGCGCGAACACACAGTGCAATCCACTTATTTCCCGACGCCGCCCCTTTCAATTCACCCTCCCCAACACTCCTCCACGTTGCGATGACGTTCCTGTTCAAATTCCCTCCCCCCCAGGCTTCCTTCCGGTTCCCGTACCGCTCGGCGCTTCCGTCTGTCCAGCCCCTCCGGGCAGCTCTTCGCCTTCTTGGCACCCCAGCTGGGGACCGCCCCAACCGGCCTCGCGCTGTCCACCACGTTCCCTAAGAAGGTGAGGGCGGGTGAGGGCTGTTCAGCAGGGCTTGGGGTGGGTACGGAGGGTCAACGGGAGCATTCTGGAATGCCACTTGGGTTTTAAGGACTAATATATGGTAGTCCATAACCCCACACTCCCAGACTTCGTACGTTTTTTTGCACTGATCATTCTTTTCCGGGTCATTCTTCTACCGTAGTTCATCCAGTCCCGTCTTGGAACGGTCTGCGACGCTTCCCCTCTGAAGCTTGATCTTTTGCCTAAAACCCATCACCGCCTCCCTGATCCCACCTTTCCTCCCTCCCCTGTCTGCTGCATACAGGAGCTGCCGTGCAGTCCTGAAACCTCACTGGCCGAGCTGGGCCTTACGCATCGCACCCTATTAGTTGCGGAGATCAAAAAGTAGCGGCGTGCTGTAAGCAGGAGCCCCTACACGCTTACCAGCCGGATTCGTTTTTGAGGACTTGGCACATGATGATGAGGAATTAGTTGCAAATGGGAAGTGGGAATGTTGTGTACGGCAGAGGCAGATGACGACATGTGGGGTAGGTCGGTGCATGTAGTTTGAAATGGTTAGCGGTGTAGAGATGGCGAATATGCGAGTCATGGTAATGGCTGAGTGCACGCACAGGACGTTCCAGGATGATGTACCGGTATACTATACGCAGTTAGCGTGCAGGCCGGGTTTGCCAGGGCGCATAGGGCCCATAGGGTTGTGCATCGCACTTCAGTCGCACTAAGAACCCCTGTCAAGTCTACAGTCGAAATGAATTCCCAACCCTCGTCTAGGCAAACGGTCACGGGAAGACATGTCTCGCAGCGGTGTCGTGAGCACTACTAACCCTTAGACATGTCGCCATTCATGTCTTTGCCTTACGTTAGCATTGGCAGGAACATGCTGCTATAGGCAAATAGCCAGTTGCAACTTAGTAACGAAACAGCTAGGCACGACAAGGTATTGTCACTTTGCTGGTGGCACAGGGTAGCAGTGAAGTTACGGAGTTTTCGAGCGACCTAGGAAGATGAGGGAAGCAAAGGTTTGTTGCAGCTGTGCCTGAAAGCATCCAGCAAAGATATTCAATTACGGTCAGCTCCTTGCGGGCCCATACAGCCGGTGGGAATCATGTTTTGAGATGCTCGGCCATCGCTTCGACCCATGCCGACATTCCCGACCCATAGGACACATGTAAACAGGAACCTTCAGGACATCTCCCGAATCAGGAGTAGGCACTTGGCGCATCCCGTATTCTCAACATGTGGGATAGGTTGCTTGGGATAGGTGCTAGCTAAGCAAGTTGGCGACAACTTCGTGCAGAGTAGACGTTTGGGCGGTTGGGCTCGGGGGCAGAGCTAGGCCCATAAGAGGTGCGAAGTTAAGCATTTGTATAGTAGTAATGCGAATGCGCTCCGTTTGCGCTCACCGTGCAACGGTACGACTTCGTTCGACCTTCCCAAGCAACTGCCGGAGCATGGAGAATCAGGGCATGGAGAATCAGGCATGGGCATGGGCATGGAGAATCAGGCATTGCTTGCTAGCGTAATCACTAGCATGCGAAGTCGCAGGATTGCGCAGACAGGGTTTATCATATGATTAGCGTTCTGTTTGTTGTCTCTTTTGTTTACTTTTCTTCTTTTGGTTGTTTTCGCGTTTTGTGCTCGCGATCCATGAGCCTTCTGGCTCGGACGGATCTTACGAGCTCGGTACGAAGCTTGTAACACATACATACATACATACATACTGCCGGAGCATGCAAGCCTGCAGTCTCCGCTTAACAAGCATGATGTTTGGATATCTACCGTTCATTAAGACGCGAGTTGTTAGTTACTGAGGACGAACACACTTTCCACTTTCTTTTATAAGCAACGCTAAGCCACCCACGGGTATTGTCGAAGTAAAACAGTAAGCTGCTTTTGTGATAGAAGTTTTCTTTTGACCTACTTTTATAGACTTGCCACCAGGGCCAGACGACCATGGGAGGTGAACGTGAGTCTTATCCTACATACGAACAACTAAATTCAGCTTAGCATGACTTTTTCAGTGTCTTCCTACCCGCCGAAAGCCGTTGCGACGCGATGTTTGTCTAATGCAGGGTCAGGAGTCATGGACATAGACGAGGAAAGACTTGGACGCCGTGGCAGCATAGTAGCCGAACAGTATAGACATGGTTATCGGCAACCACGCGGAGGCGGGCCCCCACCTCAGAAGCCACCCACAAATGAGGAAGTGGCAAAAGCTGTGCAGCAGAAAGTGGCGGTGCGTCGCGGGATTTGTTAGAGGTTTCACTTCTGGCATATGATACACCCCCTTAAACAGCATGTCGGTTGCCCCTCCTATTTTCCGTACGTAGGCGGCAGTGGAGATGTCTCGGAAATACAGGCACGTGGCGTGGTATTCCCTCTTCGTAGCGGCTTACATGGTCGTGTTGTACCTCCAGGTGGGGAGCAGGACATGAGGGGGACGGGGAGTGCGGAGGACCATGGGGGGGGGACCTTGAGTTGGGGTTTGCCGATGCTACACGGTCAGGCCATAACGGTTGCAAGGGAGGAGCCGGTCGGCTGTGCGGGTACGTACATGCGTGCAACGGCTTTACTTGCAAGCACGGTGCATAAATGTAACCATACCCATGGGAAAATGTTGTCTTAGTCACCTTGCTGCGCCCTGCGTGCATTCCGTCCCTTCCGCAACATGCAGGCCAGTGCCTACAAATCGGGTGAGGTGGTGGAGACGCTGAAGAAGGCCTTCATGCCGGATGACGGCTCGACCACCATGACCTTCCGCAATGAGGATGAAGTGCTGGAGTATCTGGGCCAGAAGGTTGGGAGAGGGGGGGGATGGTTGCGGGCATGCGCGGCTTTCCTGAATGGGTCGCTAGGGTAGTAAAGTTGCTGGGCAAGGGGCCTGCTGGCACACCGCACATGTTGGACTTCAACACGGACTTCAGTTCGCTCTTTGCCACTGCTTACGCTGTGAGGAGTCATGTCTCATGCGCCAAATCAGCAACCCCACACCACCACCACCACCACCGCCCCCTAAACAGGTGCTGCTGCCCATTTGGAAGGACCCGGTGTGTGGCGACAGCAACTGCGAGTGGCCCTGGGAGTTTCCTTCGTGGGGCAGGTTCGGCTGCAAAGCAGGTAGGGCAGGGTGCCCTTCCTTACCTGCAAGGATCAAGGAAGACGGGAAGGTGGCAACGAAGAGGAAGAATTAAGAATAGGAGAAAATGGAAGCGGAAAGGAGATGTTGTCTCAGCCAGCGCATAGCCCTTAACACCGCCCGCTGCCTGTGATGCCGAGCAGATTGCGGGGAAAACCCCAACACCACCGCCATCGTGGTCAACGTTCGAGCCGACTTTACCGGGCACCCGTCCATCAGGTCAGTAACGTCACCAGGCGTCACGCAGTTACCAGTGGCCAGCCCTAGTTTGCTAGCTACTTCTTCGGGTACGGGGAGCTACGCCCGGTGTATCCTTCTCCTCTTGACCGCATCAATCTCTCTCGCTCATCCAAAGCCAGACCTTTGTTGCCGCTACATTGCAGCGACCTCACCCTGTTTACCGCCGGTATGCTTTTGCTACGATTCTCCTTTGCTGCTGACCCTACTGCGGCACATTTCCCCCCTCACCCCTGGGACTCCAGTTGCTAACTTAATTTTTATTCTCCCCCCTTCCTTCCATGCTCCCTGCTCTGGTAACAGCGCTCGCGTGCTGATGAACAACGCCAAGTGGAACCTCTGTCTGGAGGACGAAGCTCGTCGCAAGCGCGGGGAGGCCGACCTTTGCTGGTACGTGCCCACGGGAATTGCAGGGGCAGAGACGTGGTGTGGCCGTTACCCTGCGGGGGGCCAGGGCAAGCAGCTAGGGGAATGGCCGAAGGCCAGTGAGCGTTTTGGCGGGTAGGAAGTTCCTAGTTCGCTGGTATTGTTATGCACGCAGGAAGAGGCGGCTTTCCAACGCATCGTCCACATACATCTCGACATGTCCATTCGCACGCCATGGCCCTTGTCCGCCTCACCTCACCCTACTCCCTTCTATCTCTTGACCAGCTCCGCGCCCCGCGCGTGTCCCGGCCCTGATCCCCTGCCCCTCTTAGGTACGAGGACGACCAAACATTTGGAGAGGTGCAGGTCAACTCCATCAACGCCATGCAGGCGAGAACTCCCGGTTATTGTCGTACCATCCAACATGGTTATATACCATTCGACCCTGATTTAACCAGGTCGACTGGTTAGACCAATTAACCTTGTTTTGTCTACTTCGCTGAATTCCACAGGGCAACGTATGCTCCCCGTCCCCATGCAATGCAAAGGCCTTTCGGGGCTTCCTTGGATTCTCCTTCCGCTCGCACTCCTCTGTGCCCCTTCCCCACCCCGTTCTTCTCCAAACCTCTTCCCTTCAGGTCATTGACGGCAAGTGGTACGTGCTGGTCAAGGGCGACTACGCCGGCCGGGTGAGCGGCGGCATCTACGACATCACCAACACCTCCAACCCAGTAGCCATTCCCACCACCCCCACCTGGGAGGCCTGCAAGCTCGTCCGCAGACGCCGTACCTCTGCTACACAGACGGCCCTGCGGCGGCTCCTGGCGGCATACACGCAGGCACACAAGGTACCCGTACCCATACAGGGGTCTGGGGAGGTGGGAGTTAGGGACGCATGCATGCGGACTAGGCTGGGAACCCGTCTCCTCCTCAATAGGATGCTGGGATGAGAGGGGGAAGGCGAAAGGGCCCGGGGACGTGGGCCCTGCTTCCAGCAACCCCGTGCTGCAGCCAACGCTTTCTCACCATGTGCCCTCACCATGCTTCCACTTTGCCCTCCGGCTTCTGGGACCCAGGCTGGAGGTGAGGAGGGCCGTCGCATCATCTCGGAGGTGGTGGACGAGATCTCCAACATGGAGGAGCTGAAGCACATTGACTTCAACAAGTACCGAGACGCTCTAAGCAGGGGAGGAGGATCCGGAGCAGGAGCAGGAGGCCAGCAGCAGCAGGATGGCGAGGGAGGATTAGCAGGGGCAGCAACGCCACTGGCAGCGGAAGCGTGAGAGCAGGAAGGAGGAGGAGGAGAGAGGGATGACGCGGGTTGGGAAGAGGAGAGGGGAAAGACGGGGAACGATGAGAGTGCGCTGGGGAAGTGACGCGCGTCTGGGTGTATTGTTGCGAACCTAGACGAAGACCCGGTTATCGTATTATTGTTACTAATCCTTGTTATGTGACGTAGATATGTGCCCTGGTTGGTTGCACGTATTTGCAAGGCATGGTCCCGGGTTTTCTGTCCCGGCGGAGACGTTGTGATACCGTATAAGACATGCTGTTGCGCCTGTTCACTAAGCCCTCTTGCACGTCTTTTTCGCTGTCGTTAAGTCGGCAATTGCATCCTACCTGGCGACAACCGTTACACGACCGCGCGACCATAGACCAAATAACAGATCTCCCGATTGAAGCTTTTTCCTGCTTTTTTACGTGCATGGCATATAACTGGTACTGACGCACGCGAGTAGGCTCCACTCACAAAGGTAAATAGAGACGGTGACCTGAGTTTGGGGTGTGGAGGTTTGGCCAAGATGCGATGGCGGCACGGATGTTTGTTGTGCGAGGGGGAAGGGTACGGCAGTACTATCCCTGCTATGGATTACACGTGATTATCTGTACGAACATGATGGCACTGTTGGACGCGAGCGATGCAAAGGTTGCGTTAGAGCCCGCATATTAGAGCCCGCATATTATTCGTATTATACGTACCGCGTATTATACGTACAATTCGCTTACTAATGGTGGCTTGGGTTGCATACGATAGGATGCTTTTGAGGAGGTGAGCGGCGGGCGTCGCCACGCAATACCGTTTGTACGCCAATTGCCGTTGTGACTGCGGCTTGCTTTATGGCCTTTGATCTTTTCTATCTTGGACCTCCTGACCCCACCGTTTGTCCTGAACAGTCACAGATACCGTGTTTGAACGTTGACGTACATGCGTACCAGCTAGGAGTGCCTGTAAAGTATGAGTATGAAGGGTTTCGGGAATGCACCCTGCCGCATGCAGATGTGTATGCTGGAGGGTACCTGGCAAGACACAGTACTTAACACATTGGCATCCATGAGAAGGCGAGCCGCGCGGGGCCAACAGTATACAAGCCCAATTGTTGTGCACACACGACCAAGGACATCTGCACTATTCCGTTCCGTGAAGCCCCCCCGCTGTCCCGCTGCCGCACTCCCCGTTCGACTCAGCCCCCGCCCTGCCTGCAGTCCACCCGCATCAGTGCTAAGGTCGTGAAACTCGCTTCCCAGCATGTTTTCCGGTTGCCACATCTCGAGCTGAAACTACACCCCCCTCAGCGCTGTCATCACCATGTTCCCTCGCCGGCACCGATACCACGCCACCCAGTGCATCTAACCGTTAAATTCAAACTGCCCCAAAATTCAAACCCCACCACTCCGCTAGCAGATTTCATTGCATCGCATGAGACAAATAACTGCGCCATCAGTTCCAGCGGCTTTGAGCCTGTACGGCGGTCCGCATTACGTAAGCGCCGCCGTTAGCGCTGTAGCGTGTACGGCGAGCGTTGCCACCGTATTCCGCTGCTCCCGTACGAGGGCTTCCAGAGCGGAGGTAGCAGCGTCCGAAAGGCAGGTGGGCGCGTGACCCTGCTCCTGCGGAAACGGGTAGGAGGTGCACAGGAGCAATCCATGGTAAGCGGGATGAGTGCCTTCGTTGGAACAGCGAGGGCGGTATCATAATGCCTTCTGCGTCGCAAGTCTCACAGCCAGTCTCAGGCGAACACTCGGAGCCCACGAGCCATGACCAAAACCACACGTATCAATAACGCTTACGGTTACGTATACAGTATACGGATACGCTTGCGGGTATGCAGTCACGTAAAAGCACACCACTCCAGGACTTTACAACCTCACCCCGCCCACGGCCTTACCCCTAGGTACCGGACCGCCTGCGCCGCAGCCGCTGCCGGCTCCCCCTTGCCCGTCGCCGCCGCCAGCGCCTCTCCGGCTGCGCGCGCCGCTGCCGCCAGCTCGGCCGCCGCCGCCGTCAGCGCCTCTCCTAGCGCCGCCGCCCCCTCCTCCAGCTGCGCGCCCGCCTTCGTCCTGCGCTTCCGAAGCGCCTTGAGACTGGCTTGCCAGGACTGTGTGTGCAGTCCGCCACGCGGGGCATATCATGGGCGGGGGAGGCCAGACCGGCCGTCAGTATACGTTTCTTGTGATGAACGACACACGTGTGCGGGAAGCGGGCCAGGGGCCATCAACATGTGCGGTGATACAATAATCAACGCATGTCCGCAGAAGCCCGACGCCTAACCGCAACCACCACCCACCTGCAAGCACGCGGCAAGCACCGCCAGCGGCTCCCGCAGCAAATGCGATAGCAGGCACAATGCCCCGCCGGGCAGCACGCCACCCCAAGCCGCGGCCGCCTCTGCAGCAACTGTAATTTCCGTCGCCGCCGCGTCTACAGCGGCGCGTGCTGCAGCCGTCAGCGCTGTCAGGTTGGTGGCGGCGCGGGTCGCGGCGGCGGCGTCCATGGTGGCTGTGGAAGCGGCGGGAGCTGACGCTGCTGTTGGCGCAAGGCATTCCTGCAAGAGAAGCGCGCCAACATTGGTTGATCTGCCGTGGTGTCATGCTTCCAAAACTACCACTACTAACAACAATTGCAGGGTGAGACAGGTACGAAAAAGACTCGTGGTATTCATGCTCTTTAACCACACACCCACGTGTTTCCCACTTTCCACAGCGAAACCTCTCGCATGCCCCTCCCATGCTATCCGGCTCACCTGCACCGCCAACACGGTTTCGTACAACCTCACATCCAACCTCCTCAACTCCAAACTGCCCGGCAGCATCCACCCCGGCCGCGACGCTGTGCCCTCCTCCTCGCCCGCACCCTCCTCCGACGGCTGCAACGCCCGCAACCGCTCTACCGCCTCCTTCAGCGCGAGCAACTGTCCCGTCCCGGCCAGCCGCTGGTCGCTGCCACTGGCGCTGCCGCTCACAGCCGGCCCTGCTGGACCCGCTGCTGCCGACCCCGGCTGCCCCGCCCCTGCCGTACCGGCGACGCAGTGCGACAGCAGCCAACGATGTGCGGTGGCGGAGGTGAGGGCGGCTCGCCAGGCGGCGGCAGCGGGGCAGGTAGCCTCCGCTGCACTGGTGGCGGACCACCAGCACCTGGAATGGGGGCAGGATAGTCGGGGGGATTCAAATGTAGGCAGGAGCGAAGGGAGTTAGCCTGGCAATGGGTTGCATGATGCGCGACTGCACTGGCTAGCCTACTGGCTAGCCTACCGGTATGGGGTCCACTGCACGTGCATGTACACACAAGTTACGCCACCACTGCGTACCTGCCGTAGCCCTGCCCCCGGGTCTCCCCGCTGGCCCTGCTCCTCCACCACTCCAGCGGCTGAAGGCTGGGGCTGGCCGCACAGGGGGGCAGCCAGGTGGGCCGTGTGGAGAGGTCCCAGTTGAAGCGCAGGGAGCCTGGGCGCGGAGGGGAAGGAGGAAAGCAGCAACGTAAGCGGAAAGCGGAAGGGGCTGAAGCGGCCTCTAGACAAGGGTCACCAAGCACTAGCATAAAGAGGGCCCGGGGACTTGTTAAACAAAAGAAAGAGGCATTCCCGCGCTGCCCATGCAAACCCGATCACGCACCCTCGGTCGGCATCTCCCCCATCCGCTGCGTCCCGGCGGCCACGGCAGCTGCAGCTGCATGCAGCGCATCCCCCCCTCCGGCCGAGCTATCTGCTCCTGCAGCGGCACCACTACCACCTCCGGCAGCAGTACTGCTGCCGGTACCAGCTGCCGCCCCTGCTGCTGCTCCTCCTGCCCCGCTCCTGAGACTGTTGAGGCAGTCCCCGAGCACCTCCTCGCTGCGCACCACAGCCAGGGTGTGAGCCGCTGCCAGCCGCTCCCGGAAAGCGTTGAATTCAAGGATCTGGTAGCAAAAAGGCGTGGGAACGATTGGGGAAAGAACATGGCCTAAGGTAGCCGATAAGCGATAGGAACAATCCGGAACGCAAGCGGAGGACGTGCCTGTCCTCGATATGTTGCGCATGCACGTGTTTTAGCACGAGGCGGCATGACGGTGTTTCAGCACCGCGGATCCTATGCCCCTATCCCAGACACCAATCCTAGGCTCCTACAGTCCTTAAATAGTACAGCGGCCTGGATTTCGCCTGGATCAAGACGCTCTAGAGGCTCAGGCAGCCTGCCCTGCCATGAATACCTTGGTGTACATGCCGTGGTTGTAGGCGGTGAACAGCGTCTCCCCCGCGTCCCTCGCATGGTCCTCGAACAGCGCACGTGTGTCCCGCAGCGCGCGATGCAGGGACACCTGGGCGGAGGAGGAAGCGGAAGACTGGCCGCTCGCAACAGAGGCAGCATCGCTACCGCCGACGGGCCATGCCAGCAGCGGCGGCAGCAGCAAGTGCCCGCCCAAGGAATCGAGCTGGATGTGCTTTATGTCCAGTTTGTAGAGGTGGCCGGCGGCGGCGGCCGGTGCCGCCAGCAGCGTTGCCAGCGCCGCTGCGCTGATGCGCATGCCGGCGCCGTACGGACGGTGTCGTACAGCGTCGGAAAGGGCGCCGTACGCCGCCAGAAGGTACGGTACGGCAGCGGCGGCGTCGGAGGGTGCCGCTAGGGTGGCGGAGGTGACGAGGGCGGCGGCGGCGAGGACAGGCAGCTCGTCGGCGGCGCCACGCTCGCGCTCGTCCAAGCCCTCCTGCAGCGGCCTTGCGGTGCAGTAAAGTTCTAAGAACTCACGGCTTAGCTGCACCCCGGCTGTCGTACTGTCCAGCCGCGGCAGCCCGCAGTCGTCTCGGATCTGCGCGACGCAAACGCGCCTCCGCAGAACCGCTAGAGCAGCCGACTTGTTGCCGCCACTGCTGCCGTTAGCGCTGTTATCGCCTCCAGAGGCGGCGGCGCCAGCAGCGGCCTCCTCTACCTCCACCTGTAATGCTGCCACCAACCGCTCCGCCGCAGCGTCACTGAGCTGCGACACGTAGGTCCGGAGGTCTACGGCACAGCTGACGAGGCTGCCGTACTTGCGAAAGTACGACAGTACGGCATCCACGACGGCGGCCTCAGTGTCGGTGATGACGTCAGGAGAGGGCGGTGGGGTGGTACGGCACAGTACGGCACGGTGGCGGCGCATGGCTAGCTCAACCTGTGTTTCGGGCATCCACCGGAGTAGCAGCGTTGGTCACCTTTTCAGTATGCGTCATCAAACGCCACTATAACGGTATCGGCCTATTGAGTGATCGGAAGTGACGTTGGAATGGCAACATAGCGGCAATGAGCGAGGGTGTAATGTACCGGTAGCCTCCAAGCCCAGATATGTTTCCTGTCTAGGCATACCGGTGTCCAGCTGCCATTAACGTTAGTGTGCGTACGCCGCCTTTCCTATCGTACGCCGCGTTTCCAAGCATACCAAGCAACGTTTCGATGCGCCAGGATAATTACCAGGTCCGCCACCCACCATCGCAAGGTCCGGGCCGCGCATGATCATGGGCTTGTCGTTACCCGGCTGGCCGTTGCCGTTGCCGTTGCCGTTACCGTTGCTGCCGGCAGCGGACTGCTCCGCTCCAAGTGCTGCCAGCTCCTGTGGGTCACATCACACGGTAGGGCCGGGCGGGCGGGGGGGGGGGTTGAACATAAGGGGGCATACCGTTACGGTGGGGCAGTGTGGGTTTTGGACGTGCGGGGGCAACATTGTGCGAAGCGAAGCAAACAGGGGTCTATGCAGTACATAGGACGTACGGCCCCCGGCCTGCTTCATGTTCCACTAGCCGCAAAATCAGATGCCCCTAGCTCTAATGCGACATGCCGGGCCACAACGAAGCGACGCTCCGTACCTTGATCACCGCCTCGGCCCGAAGGAAGGCCTCCTCCGTAGCGCCGCCATCTGAGAGAAGACCAGGAAGTTTGAAAAAGGCGTTCATGCCTCCGAAAACCATGACACATGGTAGATTGAAGCCATCGGCCGGGTGAGACCACCTTCTCGGTGATTTCCCTTTCACTGCCATGACCAGCCCGCGCCCTTCTCGCCCTGCCCCTAGCATCACCATCCCACACCCCTAACCACCTTCCCCCAACCAACCCTGCATGAGTCGGGATATGGGATTGGGACTTAGTTGTTTGCATTTCTTATATAATTTTCCCCCAACCAACCCCGGTCCTTACCCGCCGGCACCTCCACCCCTCGGGGCGGCAGCTGCTCCGCCAGACCTCCGCTAATCAGGATAAGCGGGTGGCGAGGCAGGAACAGCGCAACGTCCGCATTCTGACCCGCCCCGCCGCAGTTGACACCCCCCTTTTGTTCCCCTCCCGCAGCGGCTGTTCCCGGCAGCAAGCAGTCCAGAAGCAGCAGCAGCGCCCCCCAGTCATCCGACTGCATCCCCAGCGCCTCTCGCAGCGCCTCCGCCGCCCCTCCCAGCTGCCCTGCTAGCGCTGCTAGCACGCCCCGCAGCTGCAGCCGCTCGGCGGGCAGGCGCAGTGCGGAGGCGCCCAGCGGGCCGGACACCAGGGAGAGAGCCTCCGCGACCTTGCCCTGGTAGGACGTGGGTTGGGTGGTGGATTAGGTACGTGGGTTGGGAGGGAGCGCTGGGAGGAATGCGTGGTTCCATGATGGAACGTGGCAACACGGAAGGCACGTTCCGCGGGATGTTCAAACTCGGTAAGTGGGTAAGTGGCTGTGAGAGGAGAGGAGAGGACACGGGATGCTGGTCATGCGGATGGGGGAGCTTTAACTAGGCGGCTTGGCCCAGCTTGGCTGGGCAGCGTGTGGAGGTTCCCCGTGCTAGGAGGGGCTAGGAAGGGCTAGGAGGGGCTAGGAAAGGCCCCTGTCCCCACCTGAGCTAGGAGCACGTCCACGTACACCATGAGCGCCTCGTAGCCCTCCATGCGCCCGTCCTTGGCGGCCTGTGGGAATGCAGCGGTGTGGGAAAGGGCGGCGTTGTGAGGTGGGAAGACAGGTGGATATTAAGGATGTCCCGGTACACATGCACTTGTCAGCCCCATCCAACCACCCATTCACTCGTCCAAACCCCACACCCACATCCACACCTCACATTCCCCCAGCACCCACCTGTCGCGCCACCATGCCCTCTGCGAGCGCCAGCAGCTTCTCCGGCTCCATGGCAACCGCCGGCACCTGACCCGCGGGGGCTGGCACGCCCCTCGCCCGCGCCCGCAGCGCCGCCCGCGCCTGCAGCACCAGGCTCATCACCACCCACCAGCCGTAGCGCTCCCCACTGACACCCGCTGCGCCCACTGCTGCCAGCGCCCCCGCGGCAGCCTTGCTGAGGCGCAGGGCCACCTGCTGCTGCTTCACAAAGTTCGACTCCCTGCGGGGATTTGGAGCAGGAGGAACAGGGTCCTTTTGGAAATGGGCGTGGAAGACGGCTTGGAGAGGGGATCTGTGTGGTAGTAGGAGGTGGTGTCGTGCGCGAGCATGGAGGCATGGAAAGGCGGAACTACGGTGCCCATGCGTTGTACACTTGTACTCGCCCCTCTTTAAGCTCAGCGATCAGCTAACATGCGCCCATGCCCCCTCCTTGCCATACATATCATGGCCCACCTGACATGCGCCCCAAAGACCTCATGCAGCAGCACCAGCGCCTGCTGGGCTGAGCCGCTGCCGCCGCTTGCTGCCGCCGCTGCCGCCGCAGCTTCGTACATGCGGGTGATGTCGGACAGCCGCCCCGACCCGCGGAGCACCATGGAGGCCAGACGCAGCACTTGCTCGTCAATGGGAGTTGCTGCAACCACCTCATCGACTACCTGTGGGGGTGGAAAACATGGTTAGGGGGTGGTGTGTGGTGGGTGAGAGGGCATTGGTGTTGATGATAACTATGGGGTGGGTGTTGCATGCGGAAGACCTCATCTGGGTACGCCCGGTAAGCTGTCCTGTGCGCAAGGGAGGTTTTGAAGGCGTGGGGGTGGACGGTGTTGCATCGCGAACGACGCGAGGAGATGTTTCGCATGCAATCGGCTCTTGGAGCAATCTAGAGGTTGCCCGGCCAGCGCGCACTCACCTGGTTCGCCTCATCCCGTTTCCCGCTCCGGTCCAGGCCGATCGCTTTGAGCACCATAACCAGCTCATTGTTAGGGTACTTTTGCAGCGCCTGCTGACACAGCTTAAGCGCTCCCTGCCATTGGATCGCATTACCCAGTTGAAACACCCGTTTACGCCGGGCGAGCCGACGTCATGCGCCGACCAAGCGCCGACAGCTTGCCTCTAGGGAAATGCTTACCTTCCAGTTGCGGGAGTCGAGCGCATCGTAGATTGGCCTAATCTTCCTTTCAAAAGCCTCAATATCCTTTGGGCGCTTTGACATGTTTCCCAATTGTCGACAGAGCCAAGCTCCTATGATCACAAACAAAGCAGCTATAGCGATTTCATAGCCATTAGACCTAACACACTACCGGATCGGCCATGGCTCTCATCCTGCTTCAGCATCGACACCCTCCGTACCGAAATCCTTATGCGGTTTCAATAGGCTACCTCCGTTCGTTGCAGTGCTGAAGGTATTTGGTTAAGCATTAAACATATTATCGTTATGCTGCTATAGTTGTAGACGACAGCGGGCGCTTAGGATGTTGACCTGCGATATGCTCTGAACTTCTCTGCGACGCCAAGCGCCCTACTTTGGGCACTAGGTAGCCATGTTCATATACCTTAGGTCAGTATATAACCTTGACTTCCTGAGTCTAGTAGGCTTTTGCTTCCTCTCAAAAGCTTCTTTCCATTTCCTGCAGTAAGAAGATTGCCATCCCAAACAATGTTAAGCTACGCTGTATTTCTTGGAATACGGATCAGGGCTGGATTGCTTGTGGTGGAGAGAGTGGCCTTCTGAAGGTGAGTTACAGCATGCCAGGGCTTCGAAGTTGCGTCCAGGGTTCGCCTGGTGACGCCTGATCGTCCGCCGCTGCCCTAAAGGTCCTCCGGTTAGACGGCACCACCAGTAAGGATGTAAAGGGGAAAAAAGAAGGGGGGCCGCCGGGCGGCAACCTTTCGCTCAACCAGACGCTGGAGGGTCACAACGGCGCAGTCATATGCGTGTGCTGGAACAATGCATTCCAAAAGCTCACCACCAGCGACGAGTTCGGCCTCATCATCGTCTGGATGCTCCATAAAGGCATGTGGTTCGAGGAGATGATCAACAACAGGTGCGCGGGGCACATGGGTATGTGTATGGGTTTGGGGCCGCGGGTGGTGCCAAGAAGGCGTGTGGCAAGGCAACCTGGGATTCCAGGAGCAACGAAGTTTGTACGGACGTGTTTCACGACTACGATTGGAAGGGACCATAGGCTTCGTTGCACTGACCCATTTCAGGGGTTGGCATGCATGTCGTGACATGCAAGCCAAGCATATGGACCCGGTCGGCGCCAAGCATTAGGATCCCCTGCCCTAGCGGCTTTCCCGGCTCTGAATAAAGGCATGTCCTCCCTCCCTCGGCTAATCCATGCACCAATGATGACATGTCGTGTATGTAAAGGCCAAGGCGTCCGCTACGACGCCCCAGGGAGTGACCGTTCGGCTTCCCAGCATCCTTAAGCCTTGGTGGTGACGTGACAAGGTGTAAATAGTTCGCGACACGGGTTCATATCAGCGCGTACAGCATGACCGCTGTTCTTATGGACACTGAGAAGCCGAACGGTCACCTACACGACTCCTCATCCTACCCATCGTTTGCTTGGGTGTCGTAGCGGACGCCTTGGCCTTTGCCTGCCCAGCATGTTACCAGGCTCTTGGCTGAACTGGGTGATGGGACAAGCCGTGCATGCACTCCTTCAGGGTCCGGCGGGATACCATGCCGTTATGTATGCACTACACCCACAAAGCATTGCATCACTGCCAAGCGACACGGCGAGCAGCATGCACCTTGACACACCTCATGATGAATACCATGCACTTGGCCCACAGGAACAAGTCCGTTGTGAAGGACATGAAGTGGACCTCCAACGGTGAGAAGATCTGCATAATCTATGAGGATGGTGCTGTCATCGTGGGCTCTGTGGACGGCAACCGTCTGTGGGGCAAGGTGGGTGTGCGGGGGCGTGCGAGGGTGGTGTGTGCGGGGGCCGTATGCATTAGGCCCTTTCGGCGGTGTCCTTGCTATAGCACGCGATGACATGCGTGCATTGGACTGAGGGCTTGTGTACACATAAATGCAATACGGTCGGACGGCACGCTGCGTTCGTAGCTTGGCAGTCGCGTGACATACGTTCGTTGCTTCGAACCTCCAAAGCTCCACCATACACCTACCGTACCCAACGTGTCTTTACTTAACCCCCAACTACCGGTGTCACAACCGCAGGAGCTGGGCATGGAGCTGGCGCTGGTGGAGTGGTCGCCTGACGGCCGGCTGCTGCTGTTTGCCACGCCGCAAGGCGACTGCCATGTGTACGACGGCAACGGCAACGGAGTGGCCAAGGTGCCGCTGTACTGCAACGAGGGCTACGCAGGTGGGTGGTCCGGGACGAGATTGGGCTGCCGAGTTGGGTGGGTAAGCTGTACCCGTTAAACTCATGTAGTATCCTTTTGTGCAACAGTATGGTCATACCCACACCTTGCGGTTACCCACTATAAACCATTGCATGCCAGCAATCTTTCCATGCCTTTTCCCCCTCCTTCCGTTGCGGCACGCTGAATTCCTCCCCAGGTGCCTCCCGTATCATCGGCGTCGAGTGGTACGACGGTGTGGAGGGCTACGCGGAGCCCAACTGCCCGGTGCTCGCCATCTGCCTGGACAACGGACGCATGCAGGTGGGCAGAAGGGGGCCGCTGCCTCCCCTTCCCGTTGCGTACGCCGTTCGTGGGGATTGGGGAGTACGCAGGCTGGAACTCACTTGGAACATTGTGTATAGAGCATTTGCCCATCACGGGCATTGCTATGGGGACGGAACGGGCGCGAAAGGCCACGTGAGATCCTAAACAATGGGCCTTATGGCACCATCCGCTCAATGAATCCTCTGTCCTTGTCAACAGGATATGCAACTGTGACCAACCCGCAGCTTGGCGCGCTCCATAGGCCTCTCCACGCTTTCTACTCCTCCCTTGCTGTTGTGCTTTACCTTCGACCGCATCCTCCCGTCTGTGCTTCATCTTTGAACGCATCCTGCCGTCTGTGCACATTCTCCTCATCCTCCGAACACAATCTCCCGTCCGTAGCTCATGCGGTACGAGTCGGACGACAACGCGGTGTGCATTGATACGGGCATCAAGCCGGTGAAGGTCAAGTGGAACATGAACGGCACGGTAGGAAGGGTTGGGGGGCGAGGGTCAGGACAGGGAGGATAGCTTACCGTAATGAAGTGATATAATAGGCGGCAACCAACTGGCGGCAGGAGAAAGATGCACTCCGTGCTGTTACCGCTTGAACTCCTACATGCTGCCGGCTTTCCCGTTGCCTCCCGCGGCGCGTCATTCGCATTGCTCGGTCCCCTAACGCTGTGCAAATGCACATCTCAAGCCATGCATCTCCCTGCACCACGCGTCTTTACACCTTGCTTCCCCTGCCCCTGCCCCCGCTACCAGATCCTGGCGGTGGCGGGCTTCCAGATGAGCAGCGCCGTGGCAGACGGGCGGGAGCTGTGGATGGTGCAGTTCTACAACCACAACGGTAAGTGGGGGTTAGGGGGTGTTGGATACTCCGCACCGCATTAGGCTGGGAAGAAAGAACGGGAAGTGAGGGTGGGAAATCAAAGGGGTAAAAGGACAGTGAGAGGAGCCTAAGAGCCACCGCCACCATAATAGAGGTTCCAGCAGAGGAACACCCTGGCGGCTATCTTTTGGTACATTTCGCATGTCAGGCCTGTTCTCGCCTAAACTCAGCATCATGCATTAATAGTGGGCACGGCATGCAGCACCTTGGATCGCGTTTACAACCCCGCTGTTTGCGCCATGCATCAATCCTCCCCCCCCCCGCCCTCTGCCACCAGGCGAGCACATGCGCACGCTGCGGGTGCCGGGCGGCGGCATTTCGGGCATCTCCTGGGAGGGCAACGGACTGCGACTGGCGCTGGCGGTGGACAGCTACGTCTACTTTGCAAACGTGAGGAGGAGTGGCTGCTGGGATGATGATGGTAATGCATACGAACGCCTGACACACTATCCGCGCCTTCGGGGCATTGCTTCCGTGCTGCGTGGCTCTGTCTACATTACGCCTTCGATGCCTTCCCTTCCTTGAAACACCCCCTAGCTCCTCACCCTTCAGTCTTCACCCCACGGTCACGCTCCTGGTCAGTATTTCCGCAGCTCAGCTTACCGGCGTCTACATTCCCCACGTCACCCCCCGCACATGCAGGTGCGCCCCGACTACAAGTGGGGCTACTTTTGCAACACGCTGGTGTACGCCTTCAACCGCCCCGACCGCGCGGAGCACTGCGTCATGTTCTGGGACACCAAGAACAACGACAAGTACCCCAAGTACGTGCGCAAGCTGGTGGCCATCCAGGCGTTCGGGGACTTCTGCGTGCTGGCAACCAAGGTGGGTGTGGGGCTGCAGGGGTGCAGGGGCCATGATGGAGAGGAGAGGGGAACAGGCGGGGAGGGAGGAAGGGTGGTTGGCGAAGAGAAGAAGAGGGGGGCAATGGCTTGCAGTGCCGGTACTCCGCGGTTGACCAGATGCGCATTGCGCTCACACTTGAGGGCTGGTCACGTTGTCAGCGTCCACTTTGCTCCCTGAACCTTAACTCAACTGGACTATTAGGTATGGTCACCACGTAATACTTTACATCCACGTTTGCTGCTTTTACCCCTCAGGGCGAGAACCCCGGGGAGCACATCCTCATCCTGTGTAACGCCATTGGCTCACCCGTGGATTCCAAGTACATCGAGGTGGGTGCCGTACATCCTGGCGCCCTGCTGCGACCTGGGGCAGATGTGTCATACCCGCGGCCAGTTTCCTTGGACCACCATCATGCCCTCCATTAACTCCTCTTAATCCTCTTTCTTCACGTTACGTTTCCAGGTGGAGCCCAAGTACCTGGCCATCACCAACTACCACGTCATTGCCGCGAACGACGAGGTCGTCTACGTGTGGCAGTTCCGTACCTCCTTCTCCAAGGTACGGCACGCCCGGGGCTTGCAGCAGCACACGGCCCCTTGCTTGTCGTGCACCATCATGTACATCAATCACACCATGCGCCATCGCAGGCTGTCAGGGGGCATGCTTCGCGTTCGCGGCCACTCTTTGCTGAGCCCCGGTAGCCAAACCCCATGCAGCACCTCACATGTGCCCCCGCCCCCACTCCACGTGCCCCACCCTGACTTGCTCCCTGTTGCTGTTCCCGCAGGTGCTGTCCACGGACATCAACGCGGTGAAGCGCAAGGACGTGCGCGAGAAGATGTTCTCGGTGGACGATGCCAACCCGGCGCTGGTGGGACAGCGGGGATAGGGAACAGCAGGGGCAGCGGGGACAGGGACAGCGGGAAGGGATGGGTGAATGGGCGAGGATAGCCTTACTGCGCGTGTAGCAGGGTCGGGAAGGGTCGGGTGCGTACGGCTGGGGGAAGAAAGAGTACGAGGACTACCGGTCCAGGCTCGCTTGGCCTCCATTTTGCCCTCCCGTAACGACCTGCGTACCTCCCGCTATTTTTTGTGCTTCCCTCCTCCCCTGCCTCCCAGTCGGACCGCTCGCCCGAGTCCTTCCGCAACATGACCACCCAGACCACCGACCCCATCGCCTGCATCACCGCATGCGACTCGGTGCTCATGATCGGGCGCGCCTCGGGAGTGGTGAACCGCTACTCGCTGCCGCACCTAACGCTGGACGCGCAGCATGTGCTCAGGTGCAGGCCGCAGGTGAGGCATGGAGGGGTGTGTGTGCTGTTAGGGACGTCGGACGGGGCTGCGGGTGGTTTCTCCCTCACCTGGTGTCGCGACGGGTCCGCTCTGTGGGCTGGGCTCGTGCGCTGAAGGTTGCATGGTGACGTGGCCATGCATGGAGCAGCGTTGGGGGCGGGGTAAGCTGATGGACAGTTGCCGTGCTGGCACCCGTCAATGGTTTAGTTAAAACAAGTAAGCTGACGGGGCGTAAAGCACCTGTAGGTGGCTAGTAACGTCTTAACCCTTTGCTATGTGTGGTTTGCGGTAAAGTCTTAACCCTTTGCTATGTGTGTTTGCGGTAAAGTCTTAACCCTTACTATGTGTGGTTTGCGGTAAAGTCTTAACCCTTGTGTGCGTGTATCCAGATGCTGGCGCTCAACTGCAACCTGTCCAAGATGTCGGTGATCGACATCAACGGCGTGCTCACCTTCTTCGACCTGACGGCCAAGGCGGCGGGCGGGGGCGCCAACACCGTTGGGGAGCACCTGTCCTTTGAGCGCAAGGTGAGTGAGCGTGCGGGCCGCGGTTCAATGCATGAGCCTCATGAAGCAACACACACATTTAGCAGACAAAGTGCTGTGTTAATGGTAAAGAAGGTGTGCTTAGGGGAGATTATTTATGAGCTCTTATGCATAAGTTGGTAAGGGCAGCGTCAGCAGCCTCGATGCGGCACGCACCGGTACAGCTCCAGTTCATGTGCTGACCCCTACCCCCACTTCCTCCCTATCCTAGTAAACCCCATGCTCCCCACTCCTTCCCTTTTCCTTCTCCCCCCGCTAGGACGCCTGGGACATGCGGTGGGCGGATGACAACCCCGAGCTGTTTGCCATGATGGAGAAGACGCGCATGTACATCTTCCGCGGCCTGGACCCCGAGGAGCCCGTCACCTCCTCCGCCTACCTCTGCTCCTTCCACGACCTGGAGATCTCGGCGGCCTTCCTGGACGACATCATGCAGCAGCCCGACCAGCCCGACCTGGAGTTCATGGTCATGTACGAGACGCGCAGCCTGCGGTGAGAGGAGGGGAGGAGGAAATGGGGAGCGGGAGAGGAAGAGCGAGCGGTATGGGCGGGGTGATGAGGAATGAGCGTTGTGGAGCACAGCACCCACCACGCATCCCTCACCCCATTTCCCTTCCATCTCCCTTCTATCTCCTTTCCACCCCCCTTCCACCCCCCTTCCACCTCCCTTTCACCCCCCTGCCACCCCCTGCCACCTCCCCCTCCCCCAAAGTGACACCCGCGAGCTGCTCAAGAGCGCCAGTGTGGACGACGCGTACGCCTTCGTGGACTCCAACCCCCACCCGCGGCTGTGGCGCAACCTGGCGGAGCACGCGCTGGAGGCGCTGGACTTCACCACCGCGGATAAGGCCTTTGTGCGCTGCGCGGACTACCAGGTAAGGGGGGGAGGTAGGGAGGTGAAAAGGATGGGGGGCGTGGGAGAAGGAGGAGGAGGAGCTGATGGAGGGGTTGTTGGGAAGGGGTTGGTTGGTTACTAGGGGGGAAGTGATGGGGAAAGAAAGGACGATGGAAGGAAAGCGGTTTGTCCGATGGTGGTGTGTAAATTGACTATGATGGACTAAGCGGGGATGGACAAATGTGCATCTCGCCTATGTTTTCCCTCCCGGGCCTCTTTCTTGCACTCCCCCTTGCCTTTTCATTCCCTCCATCACCCGTGCCGTCTCCTTCCCTCGCCGTCTCCATCCCTTCCTCTCCAGGGCATTCAGTTCGTGAAGCACCTGGGCAAGCTGGACGACAAGGCAAAGCAGCGGGCAGAGGTGGGAGTGGCAGGGGCTATATAAGTTGTTGGGTGGGTACAGACGGCGGGTGGCTTCCCTGCCTCCTGCCCACCTAGTATTCACTGGCAAGAGAGGCGATCTCATCGCTTGCCTGCCGCCTTCCATGCCTCTCCCTCGTGCAATGTTATACGCCTCCCATCTTTGTCCACCTTCCCTTTTGCAGCCCGTCAATACCAAAGCAAAGCGAAGTGCACCCTCCCCACTTGCCCACCCCCTCCGCCCTGCTGTAGGTTGCGGTGTACTTCAAGCGCTTCGACGAGGCTGAGCAGCTCTACATGCGCATGGACAGGCCCGACCTGGCCATCGACATGCGCATGCGGCTGGGAGACTGGTTCAAGGTGCGAGGGGAGGGGCTGCTGGCTGGCGATACCCGTATTGGAGTGCAGAGAGGTGTCCAGCAGCGATTGCGAGTGGGGATGTTACACAGGGAATGCGAATCCTAAGCCGAGGACTGCTCCCCAACCACCCAACACCATGACCCTCTCGTGTACGATTCCTGCTCAGTTTACCTAACCCCCCACGCACGCATGCATGCATGCATGCCTGTCGTGCAGGTGGAGCGGCTGATCCGTGAGTCGGGCGGCGACGACGCGCAGCTGCTGCACGCGCACAACAAGATCGGGCAGTACTACTCGGACCGGCACAAGTGGGCCAAGGCGGCGCAGTACTACGCGCAAGCCAAGAACAGCGAGATGCTGGTGGAGTGCTTTTACGCACTGGAGGTGGGGTCGGGCGAGGCTGGGAAAGAGGGGTTCTCAGCACGAGAGGTTCGACTTGATCTCTTGCAGACCTTGGAGGAGGGCGGGGCAGCGTTGAACGTTTCAACTTGGGATTGGGTACTCTCCCTCTAGGGTAAATAAGTTGTCTGGCGACGAGTAAAACGCCAGCTCTCTGCTAGGACCCACACCCCCCTGAAACAAACAACCCCACACGCACTCTTCCTGCCGCAGGACTTTGTGGCGCTGGGCCGGCTGATGGACGCGCTGCCCGACGGCTCCCCGCTGCTGTCCAACATCGGCGAGAAGTTCCAGAGCGTGGGGCTGTGCAACGAGGGCGTCACCGCCTTCCTGAAGGCGGGCGACACCAAGCGCGCTATCGACTGCTGCGTGCTACTCAACCAATGGGACCAGGGAGTGCAGCTGGCGCAGGTGCGTGTTTCCGTGCGTTAAGAAAACTGGGAGGAGGAACGTACTGCGTAAGTTTGCAGAGGAGTCCATACTTTGGAACACCGCAGTACCAAACTAACTGCGCACACCAGTGCTAACACGTGTGACCAAGATCCCCTCCTCACATGGTTTGCTAGATCTTTGACCCCCCCCCCCTTTTTCCCCTTCTCACAGGCACACAACTTCCCCCAGATCGAGCAGCTGCTAGCCAAGTACGCCAACCACTTGTTGGAGAAGGAGAAGGTAGGGGATGACGCGGGTGGCTTCTTATTTGGAAAACACTCTAATAAGGGTATGAAGGCGGGCCACAATCGTTCATGGCATGGTATTTCTTGTTCCTTTTACCCACCATTCTCCCCCACCTTCCCTCCCCCACCATTCTCCCCCACCTTCCCTCCCCCACCATTCCCCCCCACCCTCCTCCCCCAGGTGATGGATGCCATCGAGCTGTACCGCAAGGCCAACCACTCCATGGAGGCGGCGAGGCTGCTGCAGGTGAGGCGGGGCAGACCAGGGGAAGGTTGTCGTGACTTGGGGTAGTAAACGCTTATTAGCGCCATTTCAGCGCACGCTCATGGGACGCAAAGATAGATGGAGGACAGCTCTCAAAAGGATGGGTAAACCCACTAAACTTCCAACCGATCCCTACACCAAGCTTCTTCCTCCTGTATACCCCGTCCCCGCGGTAACGCAACGCAACCACCTTCGCGCCCTTCCCTCCCCCCCAGGACCTGGCGCGCAAGTGTGCCGCTCAAAAGGTGCACCCCATGCGTGTCAAGAAGCTCTACGTGCTGGCCGCGCTGGAGATCGAGAAGTTCCGCAAACGCACTTTGGAGCTGGCGGGGCCGGACAAGGCATCCGCGACGCTGCTGGGCGGGGGTCCGGGCGGGGGAGCGGGGGCGGGATCCGCGACCATGGCGGCTACAGCGGCGCAGGTAGGGGGGGCGAGGAGATGGGGTGGGGAGGGGAGGCGGGGACGGTTCGGTCTTTGGGATTACGGAGGGGGGAAGGAGGGGAGGGGGTAAAGGGCGTGTGTGATGTGATGAATTCTGCGCGCGCAGCTACGCTCAGACCAGTGCGTAGGCCGTTTCACGAGAACCCCCTCCCACCTCTCACTGCCGTCTCACGTCCCTTCGCCCTTTGTTTCCCTATCACCGTGTACCCCGCATCACCACGTTGGCTAGTTGCAGCAGCTGTTGGTCTGTGACTCCCCCTGCCGCCTCATTCCCCAGTTATTCTGCCCTAATTCGTGGTTCCTATGGTTTGGTCCATTTCGACCCTCAGACTCTGGCGGGCCTTATGACACTGGAGTCTGCCGCCGCCAACGAGGTGGGTGTGGACTCTGCTTGGCGCGGTGCGGAGGCGTACCACTTCTGGCTGCTGGCACACCGGCAGTTGTACGGCGGCAACGTGGATCTCGCCATGCGTACGGCACTGCACCTGCGGGAGTACGAGGATCTGTTGGATCCGGTGGAGATCTACTCCTTCCTGGCGCTAGCAGCCTTTTACAACCAGTTCTTCGGGCAATGCTCCAAGGTACTTTTGTATGCATGCATGCATGCGTGTTAAATCGTGTATGTGTCCTGGTTTTGGTGTCGGTGTCGGCGTTTTAGGTTGTCGGGAGGTCAGCAACTTGTCACGCCTATGTTAGGATGCCTGTAGGACCCCTTGTCACGGACACGCCACAGAAGTCATGTGTATCCTCCGTAACCCCCTTCCCCATGTGAGCCCAAAAGCCGCCTCCTTTCCTCTTTTCACCCTTTTACCCGTATATCCCTCCTGTACCCTGTACCACTTCTGCCCCCCAGGCCTTCATCAAGCTGGAGTCCATGCCCTCCATCCCAGCTGACAAGCGCGAGGCCTTCGCCGACCTGGCCATGTCCATCTTCCTCAAGCATCCGCCGGCCGACCCACGGGCCCTTCGGGAGACGCGCACCAAGAAGGGCGGTCCTGGGGGCGGCGTGGGGGGCAGCGCGCTGGATGCCCTGTTGGAGGACCTGGGGGGAGGAAAGGAGCAGGTAAGGGGTTCTGGGTAGCGCGATGGAGAGGCGGGTGGGGTCGATCCTGTGAAGAAGCGCTGGGGACGCGAGTGAGATGCAAGGGCATGCACGCATTGAGCAGGCTACCGATAGTATTTAGTGCTTGGGAGGTCTTCGCGTCTCTAAAGCTGGTACTCGAACAACTGAAAGCAGAACCCCAAACTCGCTTATGCTCCTCTCCCCACTACACAAGCTTCTCTACCTGTTTAAACTCCTGTCCGCTTTCACCTCTTCCCCCATTGATAGGTATGTGTGGCCAGCGGCCGCATTGTGCGCGACGGAAACGTGGTGCGCTGCAAGACCTGCAAGCACCTCTCCATCACCCACGAGCTTCACGGCAGCTCCGTCTGCCCCCTCTGCCACGGAACCCTGGAGCGGCCCGCAGTGGGCGGCAGGGGGGTGGGAGGCGGCGGTGTGGGGGGCTCGTCGGGCAAGGCGCCGCTCCCCCCCATGTACGGCGGGTACTAGGCAGGGGCGCGGATGTGTGCGTGGGTTTGGATGGAGCATGGAGGTGAACAGACCGTGTATGCAGGTAGGAACCGAATGAGTGGTTCATCAAGGGAAAGGCGGGGGAAAGGAGCGGATCGCTTGGGCGTACGTAGGCGTGCTGGATGGTACATGAGTTTACAGGACGAGCGGATGGAAGGTTGCGAGCGAGGTCGTGGCGTTGCGGCTCTTTGGTGTCTCGCACCTGCATGGGTGATGCGTGCGTGAATGCGGTTAGAGGAGGCAGACAGGGGCGGGGATGTGGGCAGGATCTAGTCACGCAGGATCTGCAGTGCCTCTACCGGGGCAGTGGGCTCTGAGTGGGTTTCACGACGACACTAACATGGGAGTTTCGCACGAGGCTTCCACCGATTGGCTGACCCGGCAACATGGGAAAACGTCATGCAGGCGTGGATACCGTGCTTTACACCCTTTACTAGCAACCTACGTGACGTTTACGGCGTTTAGAGCACGTGATGCAGTGGAACGTGCGGCACGTGCCAGGAACATGGCGTGACAATGCACGCACCTGCTTGCTGCAAGGCGGTATGCATGACTGACAGATGTACAGATTGATAGGACTGGCCTGCGGTGAATGCGGTGTAGGTTCTTATGTGGTGGATAGTGATCTGAAACGATGCAGTACTGCATATGATGGTTTCACTTCTGGGAGTCCTGGCAAGTGCCTTTGGCTAGCCTATGACGATAAACACATTACACACGATGAGCATACGCCGCGTGGTTGACCTCCGCCTCCGGCTTTTGTATATATGTAACTTAACCCAGTACACTCCCATATGCGCGTATGCGCGTATCTGGAATAGCAATTCCGCCAGCAGCCCCTCTCCCCGCATGGTTGCAGGTGGTGAGGATGATAATTGTTCCATAGGCGAATCCATAACTAATGTTGATACACAGCGCATGCACACATGTCTGCTTTAGGTTAGCCAACTTCAACTTGTCCAATGTGAGCTGTGTCTGCGATTCCTGTTGGCCTACTCCATATGATCTACATATCAGTTGGTGCAGTTGGTACGGCATCAGTCACGTAGCAACAGGCCAGCGGCTAAATTGACGCACTTCACATCATGCAACAGCATCCTCTTCATATTATCGGGTTAATAGGCGATCAATGATGTCAGACTCCGGAGCAGCATCCTCGCGCGAAGATGGTAATTGCAGCAGCGCCCGCGATAATGGCGTCGTTATCCGCAAGGCAATCCCCGGCGACTTGGACATAATTGTTGGGTTTAATGCAGCCATGGCAAAGGTACAATGTATCGCTCGGAAAGGGGAAAATGGCTTCCGCACAGAGCCAATGCGACGGCCAACAGATGCCCTAGGGAGGCATTAATAACTACAGAACATTTACATTCTCTCAAAATGGAGTACTATGATATTCATTCCTCAGGAAACGGAGGGTGTCGAGCTACCTCGGGAGACGTCCGTGAGGGGCGTGCGAGAGGCGCTGGAGGGGCGCGCGGCGGCCTGTTACTTCCTCTTGGAGTGCGAGGGGGAAGTCGTGGCGCAGCTGATGATAACATACGAATGGTCCGATTGGTGAGAAGTATCAGATGGGCAGTCGTCCAAAGATCATACCAAGGGGTTTGTGACTTATTTAGGTGGGGCCGCCTTGGAAGTCACAAGTTATACTGCTTGTAGCTAGTAGCTCATCCCGTTCCCCATCTGCGATGTCATCATCGCCCCCTGTCAGGCGTGCGTCCAACATCTGGTGGATTCAGAGCGTCTACGTGCGCCCCGAGCACCGCCGCAAGGGTCATTTCCGGGCGCTGTACGGTGCCGTACGGCAAGCTGCCCGTGAGGCTGGAGCTGCGGGTCTGCGGTTGTATGCGGATGTGGCCAACGCCCGAGCACATGCTGCGGTAGGTGGGCGTGGTGGGCTGCATGGGATGAGGGCTGTTGGGTTGTGGAGGCTAACGGGTCGAGGGCATGGATGCATGGGTCGAGGGTTACTAAGACGGACGAGGGACGTTTAGGACGAGGAGGGATTGATGAAGTGGAACCGGGACCGGAGGGGAGATGCAGCTGCATTACTGCACCTTGCTGCTCATAGCCAAAATCCCATGGACGCAAGGGCTGTCTGCAATTATGCCCGTATCCCCGCACTCTGCTGCGGCACTGCCAGCAGACATTGCATCACATGCCAATGTGTGTGTGCGAGTGTGCCGTCCTCTGAAGCTGCTGTGCATCTCCAGTACTGAGGGCCTTATCATAATGAACCCTCCCTGCCTATTGCCGTACGGGGTGCGTGTCGTACGGGGCCCCACCTTTCTTCTTCCATACTTTCTTTCCCTTCTTGGCTTTCCCAGTACGAGGTTCTGGGCATGAGGAGCCACTACAAGGTGTACGAGGACATGTTCACATCTTACTGATTACAAGTAGGAAGCGACAACGAATGGAACGAAAGAGAGTTGGCAATATGAAGGAAGGCGGGAAGGGTGTTGTTGATATGGTGGAAATGGAACATGAGGCTTGAGTCCCCTACTACGTCAATGAATGACCGTACAATGATTTTCGAAGAGAGAACGCATGTCGTACTACTATACCTTATGTCGTGGCTAGCTGTGCAGCACATACATCTGTAGCTACAGAGTGGGAGTGCGGTTCAGCGTATTCCTGAAGTGAGGCGAGGGAAAGTGATGAGGTAGGAGTAAGAACATTTGCAGGCCTACATGCATTTACAGCTCGCCGCACGGGGTACCCATTAACACGGTTGTATGTAAGTACCGTTTCGTTCGTTGTACGGCTCATTAACCGTAACCTGTCCACCTGGCTCCCAAGCGCAAGCACCGTCCTAACACAGTTACAATGTTACTATCGGTCCATCTCAACACGACTTACAAAGCTGCAAAAGTCACACGCACTTCACCAATCAGGGATGTCATCAATAACCAACATCCATTCTGCAGTACAATTTGTATGACATCCTATCCATGCACCAACCCAAAAGCGCACATGCTTGCAATCCTCATGCACCTCAAAGCATCCATCAAAGCAGGAAGGCTGCACACACCGGTGCCCGCACACCGGTAGTGGCACCCACCAGAAAGCAAACACACAGTTAACGAACTTGCATGCAGGCCTTTGAACTGACCTTGGCAAATCAGCATACATGCACCAACAACACTCGCCGTACGGAAGGATAACGCTGCCGTGTCTTGGCGTCCTTTACCCATATCTACCCATGCCATTATACCATGTTACATAAGGATTTAAGAGACCACACATGTGCCACGGTGGTCAATGTACACCTGTAAGTTGGATTCAGTGGTGCACCCCGCGTCCTAACCACCTGCAGTTAAGTAAGCCTCCGGCAGCTAGTTAGCCCCAACAAAAAGGACCGCTATACGGGTAAGCGCGTATTACCCATATAACTCAGCGCCACACGCAGCGCTGTTCCTTACACTTGCGCACCTGCTAGCTAACCGCTGCACCGGCCGCAGCTCTTGGCGCAATAGCCGCGCTGGGTGAACCACGGGTCACTGCAGCTCCCAGCACGCACGCTGTCATCACACTCCAGGACCCCCGGCGGCGGAAGATCCGGGCACTCGCTGCCTCCACTGCTGCTACTGTTGCTGCTGCCACTACTGCCGCTACCGCTGTAACCGGCATTACCGCCGGAAGCCGTATTGTTCGCGCCCCCGTTACTCCCGCTCATATAGCCCGAAGCCGTAGGCAGCCCGTAAAAGCTGGACTGCTGCTGACCCCCACCAGGACTATTATTAGTGTTACTGGTCCCCCCACCAGACGTCGTCGCAGTGCGGTTGCCGCTGGCCCCGCCACCGCCGCTTTCAGCAGACGTAAACGCTTCCTCCCCGCCGCCACTGCCACTGCCTCCCAGTGCTGCCGTAGCGTTGCTGTTACTGCTGCCGCTGCTGCTGTTTATGTAGCCTAGGGCCGTAGGCAGGCCGTAAAAGGCAGGGTAGCCCGTGCTAATCCCTCCACTTCCATCATCAGCAGATGCAGCTCCAAAACCACCACCACCGCCGCCGTCTGCAGCAGCAGCGGCAGCCCCGCCTCCGCTGCTGAGGGTTGTCCAAGCGGAGTAGAAGGCGGGCTTGGAAGCGCCCAGGGGTGCTCCAGGGCTGGCGATTGAGGTGGTGTTTTCGAAGGGATTAAAAGCGACGTCGGAAGTAGGGATGGCAGATGCTAACACGGCTGTGATGTTAATGTCTTGCGCTTGCTGCTGTTGTGAGGTACTGCTGCTGCTGCCGTTGCTGCCGTTGACGCTGCTGCTGTTCTGATCGGTCTCACTAGCGGCGTTGTACGACGGTGCTGATGATGCTGACGTGTCCTTAACAGCAGGAACGCCCCCAACGGTAACAACGACTGTGCTACTACCGTTCGTACCTGCAGCAGGAGCAGCAGCAGCCGTGTCTCGCGCGAACGCCGACGTTGACAGACTAGCAGCAGAGGCCACAAAGTGCGCCGTCTGATATGTTGCGTACGACGAGTTGACGCCGTACGGTTGTACGACAGTGATGTTGATGGTGCCGTTTGCAATGTCGTACGAAGGAGGCGGGGCAGTTGGCGGCGCAGCAGTTGAAGCAAACGACGTTGAAGTTTCCGTGGGGTTGATGATGAAAGCGGCTGCGTCGGGATCGGCGGTGTAATTGAGGGAGGGGTTCGCCGGGTCGTCGAGTACCCCTCCGACAGGCTTCTGGCTGCTGCTGCCGCTGCTAGTGCTGCTAGGGGCGCCAGCAGGAGGGCTGGGACTGCTAGGGCTGCTGGTGGGGGTGGAGATAGTGCCCGGCTTGGTGCTGTTGACACCGCCCAGGGAAACGACAGCAGGTCTTGCCGCTGGGGTGGTGGTAGTGGTGGTGGCGCTGTTGCCACTCGTGACGTTGCTGCTTGTGTGGTTGCTGGAGGAGGTGGATGACGGAGGTTTGTGACCGGTACCGCTGCTGCTGCTGCTGGGTTTGCTGCTGGGGCGGGGACTGCGTGTCTTGCTGCCGGGGCTGCTGCTGCTGCTGCTGCTACTCGCCGTCTTGCTGCTGCTGCTGCTCGGTGGCTTGTTCCTGCTGTTGCTTGGCGTCTTACTACTTGGGGCCGGAGACTTGCTGCTGCTGCTACTGCCGGGTGACTTTCCGCTGCTGCCCTTGCCGCTACTGCCGCTACTGCCACTGCCACTGCCGCCGCTGCCGGTGCTGTTGACCACGGCGGCTCCGTCGCTTCGGTCATTGATGCTGCCGCCCGCAGCCAGCCCTGCCGCGCGAGCAGACGTGGCGTTGGGGGTGGTGAGGGAACTGGACAGCAGGTTTCCACTAGAAGACGGAGAAGCGGAGGAGGAGAAGGAGGAGGCGGCGAAGGTACCGCTGTCGCTGTCACTATTGCTACTTCCGCTGCTACTTCCGCTGTCGCTGCTGCTGCTGCTGTCGCTGCTGTTAACATCCGGAGCCGCCTTGAAGGAGGCTGCGGACACTACACGACCACATCGGCCGCAGGAAGCAGCGCAATAGCCCTGCGGCATCATCATAGCGGTACCGCACTTGCCCCAGCCCGCCTGTTGGGCGCAGCTGTAGCCGCCTGAGGGCGCCACGTCATAGCAGGTGCTGCTGCTGCTGCAACGGCGGCAGGTAACCGCGCAGAAACCGTACGGCAACATAAAACCCTCATTACAACGGCCCCATGCGGCTTGCTGGGCGCAGCTGTAGCCCCCTGGCGCAGTGATGTCCGCACAGCTGCTGCTGCTGCTGCTGCTGCTGGGTTTGCAGCTTTTGCAAGTCGCGGCGCAGTAGTTGTTGTTCTTGATGAAGTCGGCTGAGCACTTGCCCCAAGCGGCCTGCTGAGCGCATGTATAGCCGCCTGCAGCCGCAAAAGAAGGCATGAAGGTGAAGAGGTGTGCATGTGGTGGGTAATGAAGGCGTTTAGGTTTCCTACACGCGGGCACCTCCCCCCCCCCCACACACACACCACCAGGGCTTGTCAGTTACATGTACCACTATCACACCACACATTGGAATTTCTTTTTCCCCACACCACCCTTCCCGTTGCTGCACTTATCATTTATCTTTCCACTCCACCCCCCCCCACACACACACCAGGCGGCAGCACATCCTGGCAGCCCGCCCGCGGTCACCTCCCAACCACCTTCCCCCCCCACCCAATCACACACCTGGCGGCGGCACGTCCAGGCAGCCCGCGGGCACGGATGAGCTCTGCTGGCTTGTCTGGTCGCACAGCCCGCATGTCGCCAGGCACCAGCCGTTGAGCTTCATCCAGGGCTGCACGCACTGGTTCCAATCCAGCTGCTGCTTGCAGGTGTAGGTGCCTGGCGACAGAAAGCAACGGAGTCGAAGGGAAAGACATCGAAGCCTTGTTTCGCGGGTACGCGCCCCCCCCCCACTGCATGTACCGTACATCCCTGCGCCCACCTGCACCGCACTCCCCCAACCCTTCACCCCCTCACCCTCCACCCCACTCACCTGGCGGCAAATCCTACCCCCATTGCTTTGCCCTAACCTGTGCTCTCCTATGGTTTGGTACCTGGTCTTCGACCCCCACTCACCCGGCGGCACCGGCACGTCCACGCATGTGGGTGCTGGCGGCAGGGGGGGCAGCGGGTCCACGGAGGTGCAGTAGCCGCAGGTGGCGGAGCACCAAGAGCCGCTCCGGAACCAGGCGGCGCCGCAGTTGCCGGCGGCGCGGCGCTGGGCGCAGGTGAGGCCGCCTGCGGGGCATTGGAGGCAGGGTAGGAAGAGGGGGGCAGGAAGGGTAGGTAAGGGGAGGGGGAGAGCGGAGAGGTAGTGTAGGGTAGGAAGAGGGGGAGGAGGAAAGGGTGCAGGGTCCGGGGAAACATAATGAGATGAGGAGGTTCGAGATGTTACTTGTTCAGTCTGCCCTTTAACATAACGTTGCCTCTCGGTAACGGTAGGGAGCGCATGCAATAGCGCACGTACGGCAACTACCGTACGCCAACCACCGTACGGCAACTACCAAACGCCAACCACCGTACGGCAACCACCGTACGGCAACCACCGACCCGCAGCCACCTTTCGCCGCCATCACTCAACACTCACCCGGCGGTACCTTGTCCACACATGCCCTGTCTCCCTGGTTGCACACGCCGCAGCTCACAGCGCAGTAGCCGCCAATGAGGCGCAGGTGCGGGTCGGTGGGTCGGCGGATGCCGTCGGTGTTGCACAGGCCCTGTGCCAGCACCTGAGGGCAGGTGAGGGTGCCTGGATGGGAATGGAGGGGGAAGGGAGGGAGCAGAGGCGGGAGTACGAGGGAGGGAGGGGGAGGAGGGGAGAGGACAGTGAGGATGGATGAAAGGAGGGGGAAGGAGTGTGGATGGAAGGGTACGAAAGGGTACGAGGAACATCAGGGTAGGAAGACGAGAAGGGCGAGATTGGATGGGGGAGCGGAAGATACTTCTAATGCGTGGACGTTCAGCTGACTTGCATGTGGCAGCTGGGGCAGCTGTCACCATGCAGGGGGGGGAGGTTCGTGGTGGTGTTAGCAATAGCCGTGATTTATCAGGGCTCCCTACCACCAGCACCACCACCACCAGCAGCGCTACCCGCCATTGGCGGCGGCGGAGGCACCACCGGTGCGGGTAGGTAGGGGACCGCGCGGGGCAGGGGAGGTAAGGGGAGCGGCGATGGTGGAGGGCTGGGTGACGGCGAGGGCGGCGGTGAAGGTGACGGGATTGGTTGCGCGGGCGGATTGGGTGGGATTGCAGCCGGCGGCGTGATAGCTGACGGCGTGCCGCCGAACCCCAAGGACGGCGCTAACGTGAGCGACGGTTGCAACGGGTGGAACAGGTTTCCGCCATTCACTGCATCAATAGCAGGTGCCGGAATGAGGGATGGAAACAGTTGCTGTTGCAGTTGTCTGCCATTGCTTCCATCAAGCTGACGTTCTCCGGCGTGGTGTTTATGCTCGCTCTGCTGGAGACGCCTGCGGTGGTGATGGTGGTGGCGACCGCCGCCGCCACCGGTGCCGAACCAGGAGGAAAAGTCGTTGGGGATGTTGGGGAAGGCGGGGAGTCCGGCAATGCTTCCTGTTGTCGCCGGCGGTGGCGGTAGCGGCGGGAAGGCCAGTAATTGCTGTGGCAGCGGCGCCAAGGGTGGAAAGATTGGCGGCAGAAAGAGCTGCTGGGGTGATGGTGGGGGTGGTGGCGGCGGTGGTGGTGGTGACGGAGATGGAGACGCGGGCGGCGGCTTAGGCGATGGTGGGGAGGGCGGTGACGGCGGTTTCGGAGACGGCAGCGGCGACGGCGGCAGGGGCGACGGCGACGGTGGTGACGGCGACGGCGAAACCGGTTTCGGAGACGGCGGTGGCGACGGCGACGGCGACGGCGGGGGCGACAGTGGGGATGGCGGCGGCGTAGCCAAAGGCGGTGCTGGTGGTGCTGAGGGCTGAGGCGTGGGAGCAGGCGATCGTGGGGAGGGGATAGACGGCGGTGGCGGCGACGGCGATGATGCCGCCGGCGGCGGTGGTGAGGGCGACGGCGACGGCGGTGGCGGCGACGGTATCGACGGCGGCGACGGCAGCGGCGGGCCGAGATTCACCTCGGCTGCAGGATGGCATCAGCGGCAGCGGCGGTGGCGGTGGGAAGCTACGCTTGGTACAAAAACGCACACTTTTTCTAAAAGGATGCTGATTAATGTGACATGCGGATGTGAAACGACGGTTCGGAATCGGCTAGCCGCCTTTGTCACCGCCACCGCCGCTACCGCCGCTGCTGCTGCCCCTTCGCTTCCCCTAGTGCCGCTGCTAATGCGGACACCACGGCTTTCATCAACCATACGATAAACATACAGCTACAAGGATTCGTAGTGGAAGCAGTACGCAAGCCATACGGTGAATTGCGGCAGCAGTAGTAACCCAGCGGAAATGCACCTGCTGCTCGCAGTCTCCGCGCGTGTCGGCTTCGGTTGTCTTCTGATGAACCCACTACCGCCGGTACACACGCCACAAGGCGGGGCTATACGACAGGTTCCAAAGGAAAGCTAGCCTGCTGGCTGATTGCAACCGACCTTGGACCTACCTTTGCGGCAAGATTGTTTTCTTAGCACACCCCAACTTCTACGACCCATCCGGCTCAAGCTTCCACCTCCCCACCCCCCACCGCACCCTCCCTCCCACCCTGCCTCCCACCCACTCCCCGAATACACCCGCAGCCAGTCGCTCACCCTGCGGCGCCACATCCGTACAGAACGGCTCCATCCAGCTGCTGTAGCTGGAGGGCAGGGCGTCCGGGATGTCGGAGGCGGGGTCGGCGCCCATGGGGCAGAAGCGCGCGCCGGGGGTGAGAGGGTTGGAGCCGCCGGAGAGCCAGGGGCAGGCGGAGTAGGGGTCCTGGGGGGGAGGGGGAGGGGGGAATTGGAGGGGGGTAAGGGAGGGGAGAAGACATGTGTATTGTGTGCATGGGGAGGAGAACACTGCCTGGGCCATGCGTGCCCGTACGGCCAATACCCATCCTGCAAACTCCAGTCGTGTCAATAACGTGTATGCATGGCGCCACTCCTGGGTCTAAAAGGTAGGCCCTGCGGTTTCCTATGGTTCGGTATGGTCTTCCCCCCCTCCCTCCCCCCCCTCCCCCCCCCTACTTCCCCCCCCCTCCCCTTCCCCCCTACCTTTCCCCCCATGCTGGTGGTGTTGATCCAGTACCAAGCGGAGAAGTAGCGGGTTCCCCAGATGGTCACCCCGTCCGCGGTGAAGGGGGGGTCCACGGAGGCGTCGCCTGGGAGGGGGAGAGGGGGAGAGGGGGAGAGGGGGAGGGGGGGGAGAGGGGGAGGGGGAAGGAGGGAGCACGTGTGTGTGTATTGGGTAATGGAGGCGCTTCCTAAAAGTATGTTTATATGTAACAGCTTTTAACGCATGCAGCCATGGATGGGGTAAAATTTGTGGTGCGAGTGTAGCCGAGTCATCCCGTCTGCCGTACATACACATACCACACGCCGTACACGCTGCCGTACAACAACATGTGTACGGCAACCCACCTGGATCCACCATCTTGATGTACAGGTGCTTGCCGCTAAACCAGTACAGATCTCCTCCGCCCGCCAATACCTCCGCTAGGCTGCCCGCCTGCTTGACAGTACTGCTCAGGGAGGGGTACCAGGAGAACTCCCGGGAGACGGAGAATGTCGTACCTGTGTGTATGTGTGTCGTATGTACGGCAGGGGCAAAGATTTACGTGAAGATTAGGTGTACGGCACATTTGCAGCAGCAGCAACGTTGCGGAGAATGCACGATAACATGTATGTAGTAGGTGTATGTGGGTTGTGGGACATGACACAATAGGCTGTGTAATGTAAAGCGTGTCCTGTACGACATTTACGTGACTCGTTGTTATGTCGTACGGTATCATACAGCCGTACATACCTGCGGGATAACGGGTAGCAAACACAAGACTCGTCCCCGGGGGGATTTGAGTCATGAACACCTGCGTGCACAACAGAGCGGGAGGTGTTCGGATGCATGAGCGCACACTTCATCGCAATCGCAATCGCTACCCCCTTGATCATGACCCGGCGTGTCGCTCCAAACCCGGCATGCCACGGGAAGTCCGCATTGCTACAGACACGTAAGCAATACGAAGCAATACACTCTATAGGTACGCAATACGGTCTGCTAGGAGATACAGAGGATAACGAAAACACTCCTCTCTCCTGAACAACACCATGAACTCTTACTCGGAATCGGAGTACACCGAGTCGCTGCAAGAATGGAATCGCGCAGCCGACCCGCCCTATACCTGCAGCGCTGGAGTGACCCCTGGGTCCATATGCAGGTACCAGCCGTTGGTGCCGCTCACACCCGTAATGCCCTGGTGACGGGGTGGTGAGGGGGGAGAGGAAGAGACTCGGGAAAGAGGTAGGGTGGGGAAGGCAGGAGGTAGGGAAGGCAAGAGGTAGGGAAAGAATTGAAAGCCCAGTTGACAGGGTTCCAAATCAACCGCTCCATACCTTTCCTTTCCTTTCCGTCAACCGTAACCGGGTAGCTAATATAGCGTAGTCAGGAGGGGTGAAAAATTTCAGCTTTTGGGGGTATGAGGTAAACTGATCCCAAAGACTGCTAGAAGTATAGAGGAGGTGAAGAATAGCCCTTTTAATCTATTTCCCGTCGATTTCGAGGGTGCTCTTGGGGTGTGGGGTGGTCCCGGGGCCGGTCAACTTTTTTCCAAACTTTTTCTGACTGCGAATTTCAACGTAAACTTGCTATATTTAAGCTTGGCTTACATAGTACTATTGATTTACACACCTATCCTTCATATACATTTAGTATGCAAGCGCATAGTTGCCGATGCCATCCCAGACCTGGCAATGGTGAACCACCCGGTCGAAGGATGCTTCTGCTTCTGCAACTAGTGTTGATATATTTGCTTAAACCATTGCTACAAGCACCCAGGATGTCTCAAAAGCAGATATCGGCACAGCTGGGCAATCTTGACCGACCTGCTCCAAGTTCTTTACGCCGAGCAGCAAAGTCAATTATGAGAAACATGCTGGAAAATGTCAGCAACAGCATGCAGACAGGCCAAAGCGGGTCGCTAAGTGGAAGTGCCCGGATTGTCCTTGCGGCGGGTTTCACGACAAGGATGACCTCCGACCTTCATGAAGACTGCTAGGGGTACTATATACATCATAAGGAAGCTGTTTACACAGTGTCGTACACGAAATTCCCATTTTTGGCTGCTTTGGGGGTGGGTGGGTGGTCAAGGGCGGGTCGCCGGACTTTTTGCTCTTACTGTCAAAATTTTTTTCTTCTCACCCCTCCTGGCGTAGTAGCCAACACAGCGCAACCGGTAATAACAACGCACCCGTACGTTCATCCGTCCCTGCCGTACGCATCTTCCCAGCTGGCATAACCACTGCCACCATAGCCACCCGCACGCACCCCTCACGCACCTCATTCCTGGTAACCGTCATGCTACGGGCGTCCGCCCCCCGCCTGCCGAACTGCGCCACATAGCCCAGGTAGTAGGGCGGGTCGGGGGGGAAGGCGCTGCCGCTGTCGGGCTGGAGGGGCGGAGGGGTGGGGGGCGGAGCGTTTGGGGGTGGAAGGAGGCAGTGGGAAAGGACGGAGCGGCAAACGTAGGGCTGGGGAAGGGGGGCAGAACGAGGGGAAAGAAGGGAGGCAGGAAGAGAGGGCGCGAAAGGAGCCCATCACCTTTCCCCCCTTCAAAACACCCCTACCTCCCGCACCTCGAGCTTGGCACCTGCCTTCTGGCACCTGCCACACCTGACCAACCATGCTTCGACACACAATACATTCATCGGCAATCCGACCACCCTTATTGGGCCGGCCCCCCTTCCCTCTTTGCACCTCCCTTGCCCCCACCCCACCCCAGTCCCCACCCCGCCACCCCGCCCTCACCGGCACCGTGAATCCCGGCACCCGGACCTCCAGCCTTGCTACCGCCCGCCAGGGTAGGTAGTCACACCTGGGGGGGAGGGAGGGGGAGGGGGAAGGGAAGGGGTGGAGGGGATTGGGGCAGAAGGGAATGGGGTGGTAAGCGCACTCGCTGCTGAGCAATCCCCCCGCCCTTTCCCCCGGCGGGGAGATACGCATACACACACGCCAGTCTTCTCGTAACACACGCCTGTTTTGTTAGCACACGCTCCCCTTCCCCTTTCCCTCACCTCCCCCCCCCTACTTACCAATACACATTCCCCAGCGCCTGGTAGGCACACTCGCCCCCCAGCAGCCACCACATGGGCCAGCTGGCCACCAGGGTGGGCTTGCCGCGCAGCGTGGCGGAGCCATCGTGGTCTGGGGGGGGAGTTGGGGTTGAGGGGAGGGGGGGAACGTGTGTGTATGTGTATGTGTATGTGTATGTGTATGTGTGTGTGTGTGTATGTGCCAGCTGGCCACCAGGGTGGGCTTGCCGCGCAGCGTGGCGGAGCCATCGTGGTCTGGGGGGGGGAGTTGGGGTTGAGGGGAGGGGGGGAACGTGTGTGTATGTGTATGTGTGTGTGTGTGTGTATGTGCCAGCTGGCCACCAGGGTGGGCTTGCCGCGCAGCGTGGCGGAGCCATCGTGGTCTGGGGGGGGAGTTGGGGTTGAGGGGAGGGGGGGAACGTGTGTGTATGTGTATGTGTATGTGTGTAGTTGAGTAGAAACAAGAGCAAGCAGTTGGGATAGGTTCGCATGTGAACCGCGAGTATAGTCAAAACAGAGGCAAAGCAGAGATTCACAAACCTGAAACGTAACTCAATAACTGCTTTAAACGCGGGTGTATGTGTATGTGTGTGTGTGTGTATGTGCCAGCTGGCCACCAGGGTGGGCTTGCCGCGCAGCGTGGCGGAGCCATCGTGGTCTGGGGGGGGAGTTGGGGTTGAGGGGAGGGGGGGAACGTGTGTGTATGTGTATGTGTATGTGTGTGTGTGTGTATGTGCCAGCTGGCCACCAGGGTGGGCTTGCCGCGCAGCGTGGCGGAGCCATCGTGGTCTGGGGGGGGAGTTGGGGGTTTGGAAGGGAAGCAGGAAAAGGATAGCAGGAGGGGGGTGGTGGGGGGCAGGGAGCGTGGGAGCAGGGGAGAGACGGAGGGCATGGGTGGGTGGGTGGGCTTTGACACGTGGGTGGAGGGTTAGCATAGCCTTCCGTATTCGTCAGGTGGGTGCAGGAGGGAATGCAGGAGGGAACGTCGCCCAACCATGTACGGTTATCTTCCGCACAACATACTATGCATACACTCCCCGCCCTCCCCCTCTCACTCCTCTCCTGCCTCCTTCCCACCTCCCCCCCTCCTTTCTCCCCCTTCCCTCTCCCTCCCTCCTCTCACCTATCCAGTTGAAGTACCTGCCCGACCCAGTGCCCAGCGGCGGGTTGTTGACCAGCGCGCGGCTGTCGATGTTGCGGTAGGAGATGGCTCGACAGGCGCTGATGTAGGCGGGCTTGTACTCGTCACTGCAGGGGGGGAGGGAGGGAGGGAGAGGGAGGGAGGTAAGGAGGTGGGGAGGTGACGTGGAGGCGGGGGCAATGAGGAGAAGACAGGCATGAGCGGAGGGTTGCACTTGTAACTGCAGGGAGGGGGGGATAGGGAGGGAGATGGAGGTGACGAAGAGAGGGGGGAAGCATGGACGAGCATACACTGACTCCCCCTCCCCCTCCCCCCCTGTCTACCCACCCACCTCTGCACCATGCTGAACCACACGCTCTGCCGCCCGGTTCCCAGGTTGGGTTCGTACACGTAGTTCTGGAAGGTGACGTTGGTTAGGATGGTCATCACGCGCGTGTCGTACCAACGGAACCCCGCAATGGGGTCGCGATCACCCGCGGGATACCTGGGGGGGAAGGGGAAAGGGGGGGGGAAGCGTGCGTGTGTGTGTATGCGGGGGGTCAAAGACCATACCAGTAGGGGTTTGGGAGGGTGGGTGCGGAGGCAACCCCCCTCACCACACCGCAACCACAACCCATCCCCACACATCCCCACACCCTGCTTGCCCCTTCCCCCGCACCCGCCCTTCTCTTATGTACACAACGCCCCCGCCCCCGCCCCTCTCTTCCCACCCCACCACAGCTTCCCCCTCCTTACCCCCTCGTCCTTACACCCCCCCCTCCCCCCCTCCACTTACTGCGCATCTGCATTGCCCGACCGCCCATTGACCAGCGCGTTGCTCAGCTGCGCCAACCCGAATATGTTGGCCCCCCGCACGCAGTCGTGCGCCTCCCAGTTGATCACCCGCACACGTGCCCCCCAGTGGCTGATGCCCCACTGAGCCAGCCAGGCCTGGGGGGTGTGCGGGCGTAGGGTGTGTGGGTGTGGGGCGTGGGTGTGGGTGTGGTGTGTATGCATTAGGAGTTTAGGACACGTGTTGAGGCGGGGGTATAAGGAAGTAAGGCTCAGGCCACGTACGACATAGCAGGCAGCGTGTGACCCGTGGGTCAGTGTGCATGAGCGCATGCATCTTACAGCCCCATCAACTGCGCAAACCCAACCTATTCCACGAGCACAACCCTCCACCCCCCCCACCTTGTTGTTGGTGAAGTTGTGGAAGGCCAGCGCCGTACCCGTGTCATCCCTGCCGTACAGCAGGCAGGCATGGGCGGGTAGCGGTTAAAAATTGAATCCATGCATACCCATCCTATCCAGTTCCACGACATCTAGTTCTACGACATTCCAAAGCTGCCGTACTGCTCTAAACACTCCAAGTCTTCAGCTATTCTCTCATTCGGACTGTGTCGTACGCACATGCACCCTGCACATGCATCGTACCTGGTATCCATTTCGTACCTCCCGCTGCTGTAGTACAACTTTCCGCCGTCGTTGTCGTTGATCCACAGCTTACCACCCACATAGATACCGCCGGCCATAATCCTGATGGGGAGGGAGGGAGGGAGGGAGGGAAGATAAGAGAAGGGCATGAGCGGGGCTGGGTCGCGTCGGGTTGGGTCGGGTTGGGTGGGTGGGTGTAGCTGGGCGCAAAGAAGAACAGAGACACCCTCAGGCAGAGCAAAGTAATACCGGAACATAGGAGCAGGGCAGCAGGAAAAAGGGGTTGGGATGCTCGAGTGATTTGGTCAGGTGAGGTCGGCGAACGGGTGGCATACAAGCGCTCTTCACCCCCCTCCTCTTCTCCCTTCCCCTCCCTTCCCTTCCCTTCCCCCCTCTCTCTTTCTTCATCCAGCTTCCTATCCCTCCCCTCCTACCCCCCCCCCTTCACCAGAAGTAGCCCGAGGAATGCACTGTGTTTCCGTCGAACAGCCGCAGCGGGCGCCGGCTGGGGGTGAGCGTGGTGCGCATCCAGCGGTGGTCCTGGGGGGGGGGAGGGGTGGGGGGGGGGAGTGGGGGAAGCGGGGTCAACGACCCGCTATCACAAGCGGGAGAAGAGAGTAAGGATTGAGGATGGAGTACCCGTACTACAAGGTGAGTATGGCAGATCATGAAGGATCCCCACCTGTTCCTACCCTTCCATCACCCCTTTTCCTCCCCCCCCCGCCTGCCCACCCCTCCCCGCCCTCCCCGCCCTCCCCACCCTCACCCCAATCGGCTCCGGCAGCACGGGGAAGTTGAAACCCGCGAAGCCCCCACTGGCGGCATT